GTTAAAGCCGGTGTTCCCCAAGGCAGCGTCTTGGGTCCCGTGCTTTACATCCTCTTTACTGCTGACATCCCTGTTCATCCCGATACTTTTCTTGCAACATTCGCTGACGACACCGCAATCTTATCATCCAACTCTGATCCCGAAATAGCATCCTTAAATCTCCAAAGTCCCCTCACCTTGATTGAGCACTGGTGTAATAACTGGCGCATTAAAGTTAATGAATCTAAATGCCAACATATTACCTTTACACTCCGACGCAATTCCTGTCCACCAGTACTCTTTAATTCCATCCAGCTTCCTTATTCAGACACAGTCCGGTATCTTGGCTTTCATTTAGACCGAAGACTAACTTGGAACTCGCATACTAGACTCAAAAGACAAGAACTCAACCGACGATACGGCCAACTATACCGACTACTAAGCAGAAAATCTAAACTTTCCATTGAAAACAAGCTACTGATCTACAAGACAATACTGAAACCTATTTGGACTTACGGACTAGAACTGTGGGGATCAGCAAAATTCTCTAACATCAAGCGCATCCAATCCTTCCAGTCTAAAGTCCTTCGAACAATAGTCGATGCTCCTTTCTATGTATCCAACAAAACCCTACATCATGACCTTAACATCCCATTTGTCCTAGACCTTATCCCAGAAAAATTCTCCAAATTTCACCAGAACCTTACTTACCACCCAAATCCTCTTGCACAATCCCTATCAAGCATCTCCCATCCCTATAATCCTCCAAGAAGGTTGAAACGGCAGTGGCCTCGCGACCTTTTGTAGATTATATAAATTGGAGTTCTGGCAATGGCCAGATTCTTCACTCAAGACATGTGTGTATGTGGCTAAAGTGCTCTCGACCAATCTCCGCTGGCTTTAGTACCAGTGACGCGGTTGGAAGTGTAGCGCAGGGTTCTCCTGGAGTTCCCTCGCCTGATTGTATATAGGTATGCATGTTATTATTATTTTTTTTTTCCTTAGTTTTAATTTTCTTATTTTTTAGGTTATTTTATTTTATTGTCTATTGTATATACTTTTGATTATTATTTTGTTCTATTTATTTTATTTTTTTGTACATATGGTGTGAATGTCATCCTACCTCACTATAACCAATGTCCAACAGACAGATTGTTATAATACTCAATAAAGAATTAATATTGGACTATGACTTTCACAAGATTACTTTTCATTAAAATTACATGAAGCTCACAAAAATGATAATTTTACACCATGTTTATAATAATTTTAAGCTAGCAACAAAGAAGAACAAATATGATTCATCAGATTTTTGATAAGTTGGTTCTGATGAGAGCTATGAATTTTTAAAACAGTAGGAATACAAATGTACGATCTTTTTGAAAATAGTCCACCTAAAAATTTAAAAATAGTCATGAGGGTCTGCCATTTTCATAATGCCCAAGTGATGAGAGTATAAATGTCAAGTATTTAAACAATGAATTTTGCATGTTTGGTAGCACATTTTATGGTTTTTAAGCACGTATTATAACATAGTACACTACTACATAAAAGGATAGCACATTTTTGTTTGTAACAGCTGAGCGCAAGAACTACTGGATTGATTTACATGTGTTTTCTTTTAATGGTTTGTGATATCTCGAAATGTTTTCAAGCAATTGAAATTCTGGCCAGAAAGAAAGTTAAAAATAGTTTTTATCTTGTTCATAGAAATTTGTAAGTGGGTACAACAAAACAAAATCTGATGCGCGCAACACACAACTTTCACTTACTGCTCAACTTTGAATAGAAATTATTTTCCGGCGATGTTGGACTATTATAAAATTTTTGAATTGAATTTTTAACTGAGCCAAAGCTAAAAAACTACAGCTAACAAACCATTAAAATAACAAAAGTTTTATTTATTATATCATCGGTTGATTATGGATTGTACGACTATTAGTTATTAAAGTATTATTTTCCATTGCAAAGTTTACTAAAACGGAATTAAGAGATTTCTATTGTCTGTCATAGACAGGTCAAAAGTTGTCAAACTAATTGTAAGTGGATTCTGTTGGAATATCGCAAAGGTAAAATTTATCAAATTATTCACTAATTTAATTTTCTAGAAGGTTGCATAATCATTTTTCGGAATAAACGGGAGATAGAAACCTAATTATTTAAATATAATGTCAAATCTAGAGTTATTAAACTACAGTAAATATATTTAAGGTTATAAACGAATTCATGAAATATTTTTATATTTCACTTCTTTTTTTACCCAAGTACAATGAAATAGTATCTTAAACAATGTCATTGCCTTGAATCCGTGGATTTTAAGTACTTTTTCAAACTTTAAAAAAAATTTTAAAGTTTACATTTAGTAAGAAAGTTTCATTTAATTTCTTTTAAAACATGTTATTATTTATATTTTTACGCCACTCTTCGTTACCTTTTAGAACTTTCTATTTTTGATATTGTTTTTTCTAAAATTCTCCGCTTTCCCTTCTGTCCAGAATTTCCGGAGATTCATTTTGGGTCTGTCTAAGCATTTTTTTTTCTCCTTTATTTAATTTTCAAATTCTTCCAAAAGTTATATTTAGCATTTTTTTTTGTAACTTTTAATAACGAGAGATAGTTAATTATTTGAAATGAACCATATTAAAGGTACTTAAGAGGAAGACGTATACGAACATTGGGCATTTAAGCCCAGTAAAGTGACATCAACGGGGATTAGACCTAAATGATATTAAAGACCACTTATATATACAATGATACACCGAGTTTAATCAAAACTGTTAGAGCTGTTTTTGAGAAAATTGTGAAATGTGTTTCAGTGTTGATATAAAGTGGCACTTCTGGTTAACCGATTTTAAGGAAAATCTTGCCCAGACATCTAAGGCATATATCTATCTTAAATATGTAATATCAGTTTCGTACAACTTTTCGGTTTCGAGCTAGAGTGTTCTCATACACACAGACCATTTTTCGGGACTTGGTTATTTGGACTCAGGGGACCTCAAAACGTGTATTTCCGTTGAAAACTCCGCTTCAAACATTTTCACGATCGCAATACTTACGCTTACATATATAGGTAAATGAAAGTAAAAATATTTTTTTAAATTTACAGTTAGTAAATTTCATTTAATTTCCTTGAAAACATGTGATTTACGTTAAATATTATCAGTTTTCAAAAACTATTATTTATAATTTTTTTTTACACTCTCCGTTACCTTCTACAACATTCTATATTATATATATCGTTTTTTCTAAATTTCTCCGCTTTCCAACGATGTATTATAAGTATACCTTCTGACTTGTATTTCCGGAGATTCGTTTTCGATCTGTATATGCATTTTTATTTTGTTTCTCCTTTATTCAATTATCAAATTCTTTCAAAAATTATATTTACCATTTTTTCTTAACTTTTAATAATGTGAGATTAATTATTTAAAATAAATCATATTAAAGGTAGTTTAGAGGAAGACGTATATGAACATTGGGCATTTATGTCTCGTAAAGTGACATCAATAAGACCAGATTGATATTAAAGGCCACTTCATTATACAATGATACACCGAGTTTAATCAGTGTCGTTAGAGCCGTTTTTGAGAAAATCATAAAAATGTGTTTCAGCGTTGATATAAAGTGGCACTTCCGGTTAGCTGATTTTAAAGAATAAGTTGCTGTCACATCTCAGGTATATACCTATCTTAAGTACATAATATCAGTTTCGTACGACTTTTCATTTTTCTGCTAGACTGCTAACATACAAGTACACAGACACACGCACCATGTTTCGGGGACAAAAATTTTCACGATCGCAATACTTACATTTACTATATATTACATATATATGTAAGTGAAAGTAATAGCTGAGCATATTACCATATTTCAAATCTTTATCATGATGAAGCTAGCATGAACAGCATTCCGTAAATATCACTAGCTAAGAGAGAATCCCTATTCTCGGGGGATTCTACACCTAGCCTGCTATACCATAGTAGAAATAATTAAAAATATAGCTCACACTGAAGTATATTAATTAGGTTTTCTTTAAATTGCTTGAAATATATCTTGTTCATAAAATAAAAATTATTAATCAATGATACTTTTGTTTTTCAAAATAAACTTCGGAAATTATTGAATTAATCAGATGAAGTTACTATAATTTTCAACTATATTAAATCTTTGGTTATAAGATTAATCTTTTATTTTGCCTTTGAAACAATAAGTTGCATGTAGTGGTTTACCAATCTGCTGCAAATGTTCTTGGATAGTCGAAAATGGTTGGTCAAGACTGTTTGACAATGCCTCGATTGTCTAACACGGATTTGCTTCCACCTCGATTACCAAGTCATTGTCGCACGTTGTTGGCCTTCTTGGCCAATAAGAGTCTGAAAGATCAAAATTACCGGATTTGAACTTGTAATACCACCTTAGTTATTTACGAATGTCTAGAGTATTTGGATAAACGTCGCAAATGTTTTCGGTAACAACTCTGGCGTTACTACCCTCGCGAAACTCAAAAAGCATGCATTGCCGGGTATGTACCCCTTTTGGTATTTGGCTGGCCATTTCACCAAAAATTGCAAAATAAAAACTTTTAAATTAAATATTTACTAAACACGTCATTATAACTTTAGAATGTGTTTGTCATGACTTTGATGTACACAATGATCTGATAAATGACTATCAAATAGTCACATACGCATAAATGACATTACATTCCAACCCCCTTAATAATTAAAGCTAATTAACGCTCTGATTTCTATTGAACTTGACCGGTTGGAAGTTTGCTGAAGTGGTAAATCGCGATCTTAATAAAGGGAGGTTATATTGAGGAGAACACCTTGACAATCTTCGGCTATTCCATTTTTAGTATGATGATGAGAACTTGGCGCATTCATAATAGCTAGGCTTTTATTCATAGGAGCTAGACTTATACAGTGGTACCGATTTTAATATGAGTGATTTCATCACCTTGCTGTAGTATTAGGATGAAGTGATTATAAATAAATTAGTTTGGTTAAAGGCATTAAACATTTTTTTCAATAAAACAAACTGGAAATTGATAGGGCTCTCGAACCAAAAATGTATTATACAGATGAGAAGATTAACATAGCAAAACACTCTCGTCATCTTCTTCTTCTTCTTCTCCCAATTCACCTGCTTTAATCTTTTCCTCCTTCTCTTCTTCCTCTTCATCAATTGATATGTACTCATCTTTGTTCTCCTCAATGCTAGGAGTACTCTCAGTTTTACCAATGGTAAGACCTGAGCTGAGTAGTTCCGATTCTTCTTCGCGAACAACCTCCTCTTCTTTAGAAACGCTAGTAATTCTCTCCTCCGTTTCCTCATCTTTTTTTTCTTGGGCATCTAGATCTTCATCTTCTTCATCTTGTTGATAATAGGTAGAAGTCCTTCGACCTATTTGCTGAAAATATTCTAAGAGAGGCACGCCCCATTTGAACTCTGATTCCCTAACAGCAGTTAAAGATTCTTCATCAAACGATTGTGTCCCGACTTCAGGAACGTTTGGAATTTCTTCAACAACTGGAATTTGTTCAACTAGTGTTACGTCTTTCGGTTTGGTCTTGGGTTTTTTTATGAGTACCTTCTTTACTTTGCGTTTTTTAGTGGGCTCGAGATCAGGAATCCGTTGTACAAAATCTTTACACTTCAAAGCATTAGTTAGCCTCCTGAGAAGAGCATACTTTGGTTTCGTCAATAATGGCATCTCTTTATCGGATTCTGATTCGTCACTTGGTTGACGGTAAAATGAACCCTCACGCACTATAGACAACCGAGCTTCCGGTACATCTTCTTCCGATGTTGGAACAGTTTTTTTGCGAAATAATTCTTCTTCTTCTACTTCTTCTTCTTCTTCCTCCGATCCTTCTTCACTGAACTCCTCCCCAATCTCGACTCGCTTAACTTCTTTCTTTTTTCTTTCTTTTTCCTTTTTTTTTGATTTTTCCATCTCTAACTTCTTTTTTTCTTCTTCTTCTTGCTTCTTTCGTTCCTCTTCGAGCCTTTTTCGTTCTTCAATAATTTTCAATTCTTCTTCATAAGCCTCTTTCATATAACCTCTTGCAATGTCAGCAAAACTGACGTCATGTTTCATTTCCTCTTCAAGTAATATTTGTAATTGTTCTATAGGATCAGTATCAGTTGGAGGTAAAACATCGTCTTTCGATTCTGGTGCTCCTGGCACGATAGATTGTTCAGTGTCTAGGTCTGAATCAAATACTTCTTCTTCATTTTCTCGGTAAATAAGATCTTTATCAATAGGCTCCTCTTTTTGTTGTTGTTTAGTATCCAGTTTGATTTCTTCGTCTATTATACCAGGGGGGTCTTCTTCTTCTTCCTCTAATACGGCGTCACCCAAAGTAAAACTTTCGATCCCTTCAGTTTCTACTTCTTGCTCTTCTTCTTCGGTGACATCTTCTTTATCTTCCAGATCTTCTGTTATTTTTTCTTCTTCCGCCCGGAGATCAAAATAATACTAAAAAATAAATAAATATATATATATATATATAATCAACGTATTCCTACATCACAAACTAGAACATTATTTAGTCTAGCTGAAATAGTTTTAGTTCGTTTTAATGTAATTAGTGGATGTCTCGATTTATGTTGAATAAACATCTCATGCTCTCAGATAATTCTTTTATCTATCAATATAATTTTATGATTCAAATATCATATATTTCTAGCTGTTAAATATTTTAAGTTAAATCTTTATAATAATGCCCCTTACGAGAAGATATCTGATGTAGTTCTGATAAAACTGTACTGCTCTCCAATATTCCACCTCATCCACGTCAATATCTTCACATGCTGATATAAAGTTAACACTTCCTTTATAAGCCTTTTCCACTCGTTTGATTGCTTTTTCTTGTTTTTCCAAGAGATATTTAGCTTCTGTTTCCAATTCAATTAGTCTTTCATCATTCTAAAAAGACAACAGCATTAGTAGGGAAAAAGTAGCACGATGACAAAATAATTTTTATTAACTATAATATATTTAATAGTAGTGCCATCTCTTATATGGATTATTGATCGAACATGAAGGGTATAAGATAATGTTATTGGAAGATTTAACGAGGGAAAGTGATACAATAATTTAACATGTAAAAATCTGGTGTGTCCACTCACACGACTTTCCTATTTTACCTATTTTTTTAGACAATTTTGTATATCTTTAAATGTGTCCTTTAAGATTAAAAAAAATTAAATCAGATTTACTTTCCTGAAAATTGATCAAAGAAAAATTTGTGTACGATTTATTTAATAAACTGAAGAAATGTAAACCGGCTTGTGGAAGATCAGCGTAAAAAATTAAAAAGACTCTAATATTGCTAATTAAAAACTTTTTTCAACAGCCCAATTTTGTCAGACAATAATTTCTGTTAAGCTAGACGAAATAGTGAAACTTGTGTAATGGTGGCACCAGGTTTTTTACTTTCTCTTACTTTTCTTTATTCTCTCTCTTTCACCTCTTGAACTCATAATCTTACATACGAAATTGAATAGCTGTACTTCGCTAATAATTGTCTGAAATGAAGGATTTTAATATAGTTCTATGTGAAACATATAGATCCGTGGAAAATCGCACATCGGAAACTTGATCCGATCGCAATACTTTCCTTACCTAGTATAGGTAGGAAAGTAATAAATTAAAAAATGTGTAGAAAATAGAATACTCTGTATCTTCGCTAATACAGCTTCGATTCCGATGAATTTTATGTTTGTTTTGTAGTTAATTTAATTACCTTTCAGAAATATTTGTATACATTTTACCATAGAGTATATACTTAGTGAGTTAGCCCTCAAAACATTTTTCATTTCCTTATAACTTTTTTTCCTAAATTTTCTCAGAAATTTCATACATGTACGAAAATTGAAAGGATATTAATTATAAAATTATAAAAAAGTTTCATTAAAATCGTTATGGAAAAATGTGTTTTTCACTTATTGCGCAGGGAGCATCCAATTTGTGTAACAGTCAAAACCCTACAAAATAAAAAAAAGAAGCAACAAAATCGATCCACTAATTCCCAAGATAATCTTGGCACAGTCAAGACAGACAGACTGAAAAGTATCATAATAGAAACACACATCAAAAAATCATTAATAATAATTAATAATTACAAATAAATGAAAAACATTTGTGCTAGGAATTAAAGTATAACTTACTTTCTCCATGAACTGCTTACGATATCCAAATACCTGACTAGCAGCAAAAACTTGTTCGTAATTATATATTTCCTGTCGGAAATGATCTCTGATTCTAAGTAAGATGTCGCCTAAGTCAGGATATTCAATAACAACCTGGCGTATAAGCTCGTCTGCAAGTATTATTTTAAAAAATACAGCAATGTTATAAAAATGAGGATTAGAAATATTGAATTAAAATATGTATTAAGGTTTTATTTTTAAGTTCTAAATTTAAATTAAAATAAAATATAGATAGCAATCATATAATATACAATAAGTATGAAATATCTTTAAATAATATTTTGGTGCGTAATTTATTCCATCACAGCTTCGGTTGGGTTTTAGCGGTAAATTATCCCTTGGTTTCTCTCGACAGGCAGATGACCCGTGGTACATACCGCTTTTTTTTTTTTTTTAATCAAATTATTAACATATTTCTAAACCTTCGCGGATGGCATCGTCTTGTCGTGACCTACAACCTCTTTATTTACGTAAATTTTCTAAAATGGGGTGTTTTCAATCTGTAGATCGGCGAACTTTGACTATTTAATGAGGTACTAAAAACTCAAAAACACCTATTTTCTTTACACTTGAACCGTAAGATAAGTACTCGAGAAAAAAGGTGGCCTTCAAAAATATTGAGCCGTTTAGTGAGACCTTAACTCCTAAACTTAGTGTCAAAATGTTCGGCTCACTTCAAAAATTGTTATCCCTACCCTATCATCTTATCAAACTACCCTTAAAACAGTATTTTCTTTTTTTTATTTATTTTTTTTATTGATGATATTTACAACTGTATTACAAGTAAAAATACATTCAGTAAATGTGAACAAAAGAATATAATAACATGAAGTCACTTGTTGAGAAACTACCCACTGGTAGCACTCTAAAAATGTATTTACAGAAGGAGATCTCGAGGCCATCTTCTTTTCAGGCGCCTCAGAGGGTTAAAAAACAGTATTAACCATTCGCCTGAAGTTAATCAGCAGCCTGCTTGTATTTTGGTTCTCAAGCCAAAAATGTATACATTTTTTTTTTTTTTAATTAAAGTTAAAGCATGTCAAAATGTTAGACACGCACCCTGATTAAAATAAATATAACTCATTTTAATACTCCGTAGCCTTTCCACCACCATTTTTAAATCCAAAAATATTGTTTGGTAATGAGTCGTACAATCGTTTGATTGTTTCTTGAGGTAATTGTTCCCATCAAGCCGGAATTGCCGATTTCAAATCCTCCATTGTTCCGAACTGTCTTGACTCAGAATACACCCTTCTTCAAAGAGTTCCCCAAACATTTTCGATAATGTTCAGGGGAGACAGTAGGCCAGTCTAATTTTGTTGCGAGGAAACCAGTCTTTAATAATTTTTGCTGAATGTATCGGGGTGTTATCTTGCTGGAAAACTGGTGTGCCTTCAGACATGTCATTAAAAGTCAACTTTTGTTCCTCTAAAAAATGTTTATATTCAACTGAGTTTACTCTTGATGAAACAAATACCAAATTTCCTCTCTTTTCCTTTTTGAAACCAATTGAGGCCCAAATCATAACTTTCCCTTCTTCCATTTGACGCAATGTTAAAATTTTTTGTTCTTTTCTTAAGTCATGAAAATAATATGGAAACCCATCTGGCCCATCCAGATTGAATATTTTTTTAAATCACTAAAGATGACTTCTTCCACTCCTCAGTCCATGACATCACATTACCAGCAAAGACCCGGGCTAATTTGTGACGGGTACTCAAAACTGGCTTTCTTTTCAACTTTTTTTTAACTATTGTTTTTAATTTTCAAAATAATCTTTGGACATTCCTAAGCTGTGTTTGAACTCCAGCTTCCTCAGCAATTACTCTTGCTGATTTACAAGAGTTGGATGCGATTCGAAGAATATTCCGTTTTTCTCGTAATGTCAAAGCAGGGGGTCTTCCAGTAGAATGGTGGGTCCCATACCTCTCACCGTGCCGAATAAACCTCGCGACCGCTGAAAAACTCGGATAGTTTCGCTACAACTCATCCCGTCCTTGTGGGGTGAAGAAATTAAAACGGCGCTCTTCTTAGAAGAAACACTTATTTTTCCCATAACTCACCTGCTTTTTAGGTCTATTTTGAAACAAATTCAACACTGCACTGAAGTACAAATTATATTTTAACGATTTCAACTTCAGATTCAGAAAATAGTAAACAACAACAAGTGTGTCTATCATTTTGACACATATTAAATGTCAATATTTACTGATATTGGATTTAAGTAATCCTCAAGGTCTGTGAAGATTATCTCCATTTCAATATCATAATTTAAACCTAAAACTGTGCTTAAAAAAATAATATCAATCAAAAATAAAGAAAGCACGAAAAGTTTTTTTTAATTTCAATGGGCGTGTCTAACATTTTGACACTGAGTGTAACATGTCAAAATAACGAGGTTATTTATAGACAATCAGATAGGTATGTATGCTTTTTTTAATTTCCTTATTTTTAAGCTATTTTATTTATTGTATATACTTTTTGATTATTATTTTGCTTCTGTTTATTTTATATTTTTTTGTACATGCCGTGTAAATGTGATCGTACCTCACTATAACTAATGTCCAAGTGACAGAATGTAGTAATATTCAATAAATAAATTTATAGACAAAACGGTCCAATATTCTTGTAGGCCACCTCGTTTCTCTGTTTTATGATCAAATTATCTTACGATTCGAGTGGGAAAAAAGAAGAGTTAAGGTCAAGCCATTCACGAAGTTTTAGCCAGATGTTAATAATTTGAGAAAATGTAATATTTTATAAAGTACGTTATAAGGATTTGGTGGGCTGGGTAGCCGAATGGGCTAAGGCGTGTGCACAGCACCGCCGTTGCCCGGCAACCTGATATATCAATCAAATGATATAAAATAGTCACGAGTTCGCGTCCCGGTGCCGAGGAAGTCTTTTAAATCCCCGCCTACACTCCCTGGCCAGGGAAAACCCCGTTATAGCCTTAACGGCGATGAAGGGGAGGGCACCCTCCCCCCAAAAAAGTACTTAATAAGGTCTAATATATAAATTAGCAAAGGTAGCAGAGACGCGTGTAATTCGTATATATTTTTTAAAGAATATTACGTATATACGCTAAATGCAAAACATTGAATAGCCTAATGGAAATTGAGTTACAGATAGTAGTTCCCGATGGTCACTAGATGTGTAATGAACAGTATGAAGAAATATATAGGTATACACTGCTGATTTAGCTGTAAATCACTTTAGATTCTAAAAAAACATTTCAAAATTTAGTACATGGCTTGCCACTAAATTATTAATACAAATTTATTTAAGTCAACTTAGTTACATAGTTCATTGATAATAGGCCAAATCATTGTACCGAGTAGCTTCTAAAATAATCGAGAAGTAATTTTGTGATTTACATTTGTAACTATGTAACCCCCTTTCGTGGTCGGTGTGATATGTAATTTGTTGTATGGTTAAAGGATGAAGATCTATACTCGTACATCATAGAGTACTTTTTTCACCGAGTGATGTCAGCTTTATCAGTAGATAGCAACCATTGTTTTCGCATCGGCTGACGTCAGATTTTTGAAGATTTGCAATATTTTGCTATTCCTAAGTTCCTAACATGTGTTCTGCTTAGATAACCATTCATATGGCTAACTTTATTTCAATGCTCCATAATTTCTAAAATAATAATGCTTTTTAAAAGTTCAAAATTGAGTTTGTTTTATTTGTCATGCGATTTTGACTATAAAAAAAAAGTCTGCCGAGTAAGGTCAGTATAGATTCTTCACCGTCTTTATTTGCTAAAAAATATCTATATTAAAAGGTCTGTGATCTCTGGAAGAAGCCGTTTTCGGGAATTCAATAATTCCTCAACATATATGATGGCTTGATATCCACGAGTTTTGTTTATCAGCAAATACTAAAATACGAAAAAGTTCCGCATTTGCGCAGATTGCATATTTGATAATTTGTAATTAAAAACAAAAATCCAGTGCATACTGAATATGTATCTCGCAACTGTTAGTGCAAATGACGTATATACTGACTTATAGTATCTGACTAGGTATCTGAGTCCACAAAATAATTCAAGGAATGAATGATGAAAATATAAATATAAAAAAAATAATTATGACAAATCTTATAAAGAAATAAGATGATATTAGGAAGAGTTATTGTCTGAATATGAGATATGAAAGTAGATCTCGAAACGTCATAGTAAAATAAAGAATAATTGTTGGGAGAAAAAATACTGTTATCACATCTTTTTTTTTTTTTTTTTTTAATGCCTGCTCAAGGAACGTCGAACACTATTGGGTCCATTGTGCGCTTTTATTAGATCTTACTTATATACCTAAGAAAATAAGTATTTCTCTTAGGGCTATTGAAGAGGAGGCAATAGAAAAACAGCCATACGATGGAAACCTCAAGGAAGAAGGAAAGGCAGACTAAGAGAGACGTGGCGCACTTCCGCAGGGAAAGAGAATTAGGCCGGGTTTATATCCCAATAATAGAATGTAGCAAAGGATTGTTACTGATTGAGACAAACGGAAAGAACTAATGGATGCCTTAAGCTCCAGTGGGAGTCAAATGAATCAATAAATATACATGTCATCACCATCTTCATATCCGGGGAAAACATGTCATTAGATATATTATATAGTAATTATTCAACATCTCTAGATGATTTTTTTGTTTCATACATTACAAAAGTCAATATTGGGTCTCTGGAAATTTTTTCTTTCTCTCCATGACTTTGACCAGAACTGTGTGTTTAACTGAGAATTATCTGGAATTAAAAAAAAATGTCTAGCTATAAGTCCTTTAGCTCGTTAAATTAATATGGAGTTGCCTTCACATGTGTGAGTAATAAGAAAGTGAAGGTGAAGATCCGATTAGAAAATTTTAAAGTGATAACTAACTCCAAGTCGTAACACTGTTCATTCCCCATCTCACTCCATATCTTATGAGGCAAAGCAAATAGATAAATACCACCTATCAAATGTGTTAACATAGGTGTCCATTGAAGGGATAGCATGGCGCAAGTAGAGCTTTTAGTATGTTTGAGGGGGAAACATTTTTACGGGGTTTTGAATTTTTAAGGGCATATTTTAACGGGGGTCTAAATATTTTTAGGTAGATATATTTTTATGAAATTTTAATTTTGAGAGATTTCAATAGAGGAACAACAGGGAAACATGGAACTAATCACATAAAGTGTTCTTGTATATGATCTACGATTTTAAGTTTTCTTTTAATTTGTTATATTGATGTATATATATATATATATATATATATATATAAATCTTATATATATTTATTTAAGATTTATATATATAAGATTTATTTATTTAAGATTTGTATATATATATATATATATATATATATATATATATATATATATATATATATATATATATATATATATATACAAATCTTAAATAAATAAATCTTATATATATAAATCTTATATATATTTATTTTTAAGATTTATATATATAAGATTTATTTATTTAAGATTTGTATATATATATATATATACATATATATATATATATATATATATATATATATATATATATATATATATATATATATATGTATATATAAATCTTATATATTTTTTTTTGTATCGTTTTCTATTTTTCTATATTATATATGTATATATAAAACATAGAAAAATAGAAAACAATATAAAAAAAATTATATATATACACACACATACATACATGCATACATATAAAACTAAATGAACAAAATTCAAGTTTCTTATTATATAATGTAGTTTGATAGTGGATAAATAAAATGCAATAAAATAGATTTCCTCATATGTCTGTCAGCAATATAAAACTAATTTATACTTGTCAATGATTCCGATAAAAATTTTAAGGTTGTTTACCAAATAATGCGCTGCACATAACATGCCTTTTCTGGTTTATTCCTCTGCTTGTAAACTTACGGTCTTTTATTATTTGTTCAACTTTCTTTCCTAACTCTTTTACTTCGGCCAGAGTAGCTTTTTCTTCAGATACCTTTAGAACATAAACCACAATTGAACCATTTAAGGGACAAAAATACATCTATATTTAGTGTTCACTTAAAACTTGGTGTCAGATTTTGAAAATGATTCAACGTGACCACTCATTTAAAAAAATGGGAAACAGAGAGTTGCTCAATATTTGAACGGCCTTATAGTCCAGTAAAATTAGTCCCCAACATTAAAAAATCAAAGATGAAACTTCAGAAATTGTTCATTGCTCTATCCATAATAACTGCTAAAAAGTCCCAAAGAATACCGTGCCGGGAGGTATCCCTCCTATGGGGGGAGGTAAGAGAATAATAGAAAAATGATATATTTTTCTTTTATATTTTTTTGAAAATCAATCAAAATCACTTTTCTTGGTGTTTTTCTTTTCCAACTCCTCAGAACCAAAAACTCTCCCTACATCTTAGAACTTAACGCTCCTCTATCCACTCTCTCAACACCAGATCTCAACCTATAGATTTATATATCCCCTCCTATAAAACCACTTTCTTCAGTAAATCCTTCGTCATTCGTGCTTCTTCCTTCTGGAACTCCTTACCCATCGGCATAGGTCAAACCACGTCCATAAACTCCTTCAAACAACTCTAATTCCACCACCTACTACAGATTCAAACTTTGGCTTATAAAAATGTCTTCTTCTTTTTCTGTCTTTCTCTTCGTGCCATAACTAGCATCGAGGAGCCTCTATCCAATGCAGCCATGACTCTCGGTCCCTACTAAGCAGCCTCTCATTTCCTGATATGCGTATACTCCTGATAGGAAATTCTGGGGCGGCCCCTCCCAGTGGGTCGAGCTTCTATAATCTTCCGCGGATCTCTCTCCTCCTCCGTCCGACAGACGTGGCCAAACCACTTCAACTGTCGGTTTTCAAGTATTGTCCATAGCTCCGCCACCTCCAGGTCCTCTCTTATGCGTTAATTTCTTACGCGGTCTCTCCTGGTCTTCCCAGCAGCTCTGCGCAGAAACTTCATCTCGGCTGCTGTCACACGACTAACCTGCTTGTCCAGTATAATCCAGCTTTCGCTTCCATAGGTGAGGGTTGGGAGGTATACCGACTTGTATATGTGCCTTTTTGTTTCCTTGCCAACTTCCCTGTGCCCTACTATAGTGTTGTTGATAGGGTAATATACCTGATTGGCTTTGGATATCCTATTTGCTACTTCTGAGTCAATCTTCCCTTTGTTGCTGATAATTGTACCCAAATAGGTGAAATCTTGCACTTCAATTATCTCCCCGTTACAGATCAGCTAGACATCCTCTTGTTCATCTCTTGATATGACTAGGACTTTGCTTTTGGAGCTATAAAAATTTCTGGACTATATTTTAATTACGTTGGTCACCAGCAGTCAATTGATAGGAGCCATTTTATTTTTATTTATTCACTTTTTTTCTATCTCAGTATTTCTTGTAAATATTTGTGTTTTTCCTTTGTATTTTTTGTAGATATTTATAGTTTTCTTTGTATTTTTCTTAGTACTTGTATGATATTTACATGCCAGACTAATGTACACATTTTTTGAACTCTAATATTATTCTAAGGGGTCTTCAGTCTCAGAATATAATTATTATTCATTTCAAAATTCCCCTTTAAATTGTTTAAAAAAGACAAGAATTACTTGCATTTAATGTACATTTAATCTAGTTTACTATAAAGTGGTTGGTTGTAACCTAAATTAAACATTTTTTTTTAAGATATTACTTTTTATTTAACATCAAAACGTGGTTGGCTTAAAAATTACAAAATTAAAGTTTCCTGGTTCTCTGTATGTAATCAGATCATGGTTTATGGTAAATTAATTTCAATCTAAACTTTATATCATTATCACGAAATTCCACATTGATTGATATTCAATATAATTCTGTTGTTAATGACTTTTAAGAAATTAACTTGGAATAATAATTTGAACGATCAAAAATGTTAAAAAAACTAATTAAACTTCAAAAAGGTATCGTTTACTATGAACAACTTCAATTTCGTGGGTGGAGCAATTTCGCTTAAAGTGTAAATGAACTAAATATAATCTTATAAATATCTCCGTAACCACTGATCATGTCAAAAAAATGTATAGGATCATTTTTACAGAAATTTTAAAGTACTTTAATATTGTACTGAACAATATTTGCGAAAAACATCAGTTTTGGAAAAATTCTCAAAAACAATTTCTGGAAAGTTTCATTGTTATTTTTTTAGTGTTAGGGTAAGGCTGTTTTTTCTCTTACCTTCTGGACTATTAGTAGAGTGTAAAAAACAGGCCTCTAATAAACAGATGTAAATATCGATGAATATTGTATCGATAGGTTCTCAAATATATCGAAAAGGTAATTCTATAGAGAAAAAATATTACGATACTTTATCTTTGAAAGCAGTACAGATGTAAATACCAAACATAAATATCGATAACTATGGTATTGATGATTTCAAATATATCAAGAAATTGTTATTGCGGGCCTCGATATTTTTAATTTTTGAAAGAAGGTGAAGGCGGTTTACATTGAATTGAATAGAAACTAGACAGAAAAATAAAGCAATTAAATTTCTTAAACACAGTTGATATTCAAAAAAAGCAGAGTGAAATCTATATCAATTGAATTACTTATAGCACTATAAAAGGTATTAATACATATTTTCAAAAAAGCTTATCACGAACAATAGTGGATTTAATATTTATTATTTTTTTAAACTTATTTATTGAGAAATATTATAATCTGCCTCAATTAAGAACATTAATAATTGTGTTCAGAGACTAAACTAACTGTATACGCAAAAAAACACAACAACAACTAAACTAATGAAAATAATATCTTAAATACAAACATACTTTTACTTTATACTTAAACAATTCATTCACTCAGTATCTGTTCATTCATATCCGTGACAATATTTTCCCTCCACTCGTGGAAGGAAAGGTAGGACTCTAGGAGATCCCAGCGTCTCTCACTCACCCGCATTACTGGAATTAAGGACCAGTAAGATTTAATTAAACAAAAATGATCAATATGAAAACTACCAATTATATCTAAATAAGTGGTTCTTGAAGGCAAAAAAAAAAATTGTAATTCCATTAACATTAATGCTTTCAGAGATACATTTATTATTTATTTTTTATTGACACATGTTTACATACCGACAGCCTCACTGAAAAATCCTGTAAGTACAATTTAATTAGAATGTTCGGTTTTGAGCTTTCCCGGTTAATCTTGGCTTCGGATACATTCATAAAAACTTAATTTAGAACATTACATCTTCACCTTAAGCATGTAATTTAAACGAAAATACTTTTTAAAAAAATACGCGGTTTATTTCGTCTTATTAATAATTTTGAGTTTTGCACTCACAATCTTTTGAAGTGTTGCTGTAGATATATTGCGATTTTTAAAAGTATTTAGCTTAGTTCAGAAAGAAGACCATGCTCAAACCCATCTGGACCTATAGACTTGAACTGTGGGGGACAACTAGATTTTCGAACATCAAACGCATCCAATCCTTTCAGTCTAAAGTCCTCCGTATAATAGCCAATGCTCCTTATTATGTTTCAAACAAAACCTTACATCATGACCTTTACATCCCTTATGTCCTTGACGTTATTCTATCCCGATTTTCAAATTTTCATCTGAACCTAATCCACCATCCTAAACCCTTAGCACAATCCTTATCTAGCTCCAGTCATCCCTACAATCCTCCTCGGAGGTTGAAAAGACGTCACTGGAGTTCTGGCAATGACCAGCTTCTCCACTCAAGTCATGAGTGTATGTGGCCCTCTCTCAGTCTCCACCGGACTGGTAATGCCGGCGACGCGGCTGAGAGAGAAGCGCCGGGATCTCTTTGTCCTTTGGGAGTAAGAGAATACAGTCCTTTGGGAGTCTCGCTTTGTCATTCACACGTGAGGGAAACGGCTGGACTCGGAGATCTCTTGCCTGATTGTAAATATTGTAATTAAGTATGAATGTTTTTCTATTTATTACTTTTCTTATAATTTATTTAATTTTGCTACGTATTTCTGTATTTTATTTTATTTTAACTCTAAGTTACATTTTCTTGGATTATTAATTTTTTGCCTTTGTTATATAGATGTATACTTTTTTTTTTTTTTTTTTTTTTTTTTTTTTTTATTGTATTGTATATATGAATGTGCCTCACTCAGCTCAAGTACTCAGTGTGGCAAAATGTATTATTTCTCAATACATACAAAAGATATATAAAAGTAAAAAAAAAAGTAGTTCAGAAAGAAAAACAAACACTGACCAATGAAAAATCTATGTTGTTTTAAACACTGTATTAAATCTATCAAAATGAAGAAAATACAAATAAAGAAAATCAAAATTTAATTAATACTAACTGAAACGTATAAACCGTATTAACATTTTCATTATAAAACAAACAAAAAAACTATAACAAAAACAAAATTAATCAACCAATAGTATTAAGTATTATATTAAAAAATATAATCACTTTGATATCCTCACTATTGAGGTAGATTTCCCATTAGAAATTTTTAATTTAATTTTTTATTATTGGTTTCCACGTATACATTTTAATATCAATATTATGATAAACTGGATGAATCAATATACCAATTTTCAGATCTTCGGGGATTTCGTACCTCTATTTTACCTAAACACATTGGACCATTATGCTAGCTGATAAATATGCTATTTATTGAATAATAATTAGTTAGTTTTTAAAATTTACTTTTAAATGTAATCATTGAAAATATCAAAATAAATATAGCTCTGGATACCATTAATTTGTACTTCTTCTTATCTGCCGTGAATGATTCTGGATTCGTAATTTGATCAAGTAAATTCCGTATCTTTTGCGTCTCCCATGGACGCTCAGCTTTGGTTGGTTTGCTCTAGAGAAAATTTAAAAAAAAAAACATAAATGTTCCACAGTCTTTGGCAATATTTCAAATAATGATTATTTAAAAAAAGTCTTATTGTTTTAATAATTTAATTCAAGAATATATATACTTATAGTAATTTATAGTTTTATTACTAAAAGAATAAAATACACAATAGTGGAATGATGGTTGACAGTAGTGAAAATTGACGAGAAGTTGGTTGGGGTGTTCATTAAAAAAAAATAAAAAGTAAAATTAATAAATGATATTTATTTTATTATTTTATTCTAATTATATTTATATAAATATCATTAATTTATTTTTAATTTTTATTTTTTTGAGTGGACACCCCAACCAACTTCTCTTCAAAATATACAATAAAATTTCGTAATTATAATGCTCTAATAATAGTTAGGTTGTAATTGAAAAATTCCAACCACACAGACTTTTGTCTCTAAAATGAAATGAACTGAAAATATATTTAATTATTGTGGGGCGGTTGTCCCTTTAGAACAAATTATAAGTACAGAATGCATGTCTGTGTGTTCATAAATAAATGAAATATTTACAATAATAGTTAATTAAAAGTATAAATATAGAACAAGAGAGAGGAAAAGACAAGAAAAGTGTACATATATATAAGACAAACAAACGAAACTAAAATAACGGAAATAGTCTCTGGGAGTAATAGATTTATTTTCCACGTATGAGTGTAGAGGCATAACACTCCTTCTGGTTGCCTACAAGGTAATGGCCAATATCCTACTAAACCGAATATAAGAGCAACACCACATCAAAATGGGGGGGGGGAGGAATGAATCATAAAATCTTTGGATATGCAGATGATATAACTGTCCTTGGAAATAATCAAGAAGACATTGAGAAACTCGCTACAACACCGATAAGAGAGGCAGAAGAGATCGGCCTACAAGTAAATGAAGACAAAACAAAATATATGATAATAAGCCGAAAATTCCACCCCAATAACAGGATCTGCGTAGAAGGAAAATCATTCCCGAGAGTAGAAAAATTCAAATACCTCGGCTCCACAATAACCTCAATGAATCACCAACGGGCAGAAATAGAGCAGCGTATAACTATCGCAAACACGAGCTATCTTCTCCCTCTCAAAAGTATTGAAATACCGAAAAATCAAACTAAGGGTGTACAACGCTGCTATACAAAGCCAGTTCTAATATATGGCTTTGAGACCTGGACGCTAATCAGCACCCTAGAAAAAAATGTTGAAAGATTTGAGAGGAAAATCCTCCGCACGATAACTGGAGCGATCTGGGATCAGAGTACTAACACATTGAGAAGAAAATCCAATAAAGACCCGATCAATATCCCATGATAAGAAGGCACGGAGGTTAAGATAGGCGGGGCATGTAGCTCGTAGCAATCCATCTGGAAGTTTCTACGTAACAATGAATGCCTCAATAAAAGGCATAAGACCACGTAGTAGGCCAAAAAGCAGATAGATAGATAGAATCAACAAATATGCAACAGAGCTGCGCGCAGATAAATGGAAAGAAATAGCCCAGAACAGGTAGAGATGGAGCAGGTTTGTTAAGGCAGCAAAAGATCTACATGGTCTCTAACGCCAACAGAAAAAAAAAAGTAAAAAAAATGTATATATATTCAAATTTGAAATCTTCAAACTATTCGTAGAATGTGGATCCTGATTGTCTTCGTATCTCCTAATAATGGAATAGTAATAGTTTAAGAGAAATGGAAAATTTTAGTTTAGTGGATAAAAATTGTAACTAAATTAAAAAAAAAAAACATATTCATAATAGAGTGACAACTTGATACCTGTAAGGTTCCATCATCCAAGACTCTAAAATGCTTAAACTTTAAAAAATTCCACTCAGGTCGCTCTATTCCAGATAATGGCATATTAATGCTTAAAATATAAATAATAACTATCTATTTCGAAACATATGCGCAATAATATATTAACTGTAATTAATTTCAAAAGTATATTTTCTCCTGGAATTAAAAATTTTAAAAATACATAACAATTAGTTAAATGAACCAATTACTAATCCAGAAAAATAAGCTTAATTTGAAATTTCGATCTGAAATCTTTGAGAAGATATTATAGGACAAATAGCAATTAACGATCATGAATTCTACCGTATTTTTTATCAACACACTTTGTTAAACCTTAAATAAATAAATATTCCATTTTTAATAAAGGCTCCATGAACGATGGATAATAATAATTTTAAAGCAAGCCTGGTAACAAAAGTCATGCTGAACAGTTTATCCAACAAGAAACTAAGATTGACATGTCCATGTATCTTTTTCGATTTTGATAAATATTACTTGTTTGACATTAATGCGAAGCTGTTGGTCGAGAATAAATTCGCAAGTGTCAACCTCAACCTGAGACTAAAAGGCAAGTAAAACTAACTCAATTTCGTAACTCATTAACCTTATTTATTTTCCGATTATTATAATATAACCTAAGTCTTAATTATTATTTTATTAATTTATTGTAGAATTTTTAATTCATAACAGTAACAAAAGCTGTATCATGAACGTTTGTAATATGCTCCGTTCTGGAAAAGTTTTGGCCAGGCTGGATAAAGATAGATATTTATTATAACAAATTACACCCTTAAATAGATATTTTAAGAGATTTCTTATTGGGGAGGAAGGTTTAAATACTTAAGAAAGAGAGGAAAAAACACTATTCAGCAGCTTGTTATAATTATTATATATACATACATACTATATATGTAAAAAGAAAAATTAATAAATGATATTTATTTTTATTATTTTATTTTAATTATTTTTAAACAAATATGATTAATTTATTTTTTATTTTTATTTTTTTGAATGGACGCCCCAACCAACTTATCTTCAAAATATACAATACAATTTCGTAATTATAATACTCTAATAATAGTTAGATTATAATTGAAAAATTCCAACCATATATATATGTGAATAAAAAGTAGCTTAATATATGTGCTAGTGGACGGTGCTGAGACTGTCGGTGTGTCCCTAGCCTGATAGAAGCTCTATTTTTTAAAATTCTAGCTTTGAAGAGGATCCCATGGTTGACTAATAAAAAGAAAATACCGGGATCGAAACGTCAATAAACAGAAGAAATGAACATTCAATAGTTTATTAAATAATAATTAAATGACCTTATTAACAATTAATAAATGAGTGAATAAATTGTAAAATTATAAGGACTTATATATTTGTGATTTATAAGGGCCACTTCTGTCTTACGATTGTTCTATATTGTTTTAAGAGGTCATTTTAGAGGTACAACCAAACCTATATGCATATATACTTGTGATATATATATATAGACATTAAAACATACATGAAAACCAATTATGTATGTATTTATATATAATCATAGGTCATGGGCACCAGTGAATCCAGGATTTAATTTTGGGAAGCTTCAGCTGGAAAAGTTTTTTTTTCATATATATATATATATATATATATATATATATACATAAAACGATAGGTAATTACTTTGGAATAAACAGAAAGATACTAACTACCTTTATGAAATCGTGTTTATGTGATTCTTGAAGTCCTTTTAAATGTATTTAAACGAAAAATAATTCAAGAGATGATATTTTAATTTTTTTTTTTTCATAAAACATGGTTATATTTTACCATTTCGTGGAGGGAGGGCTTCAGCCCGAAAGCCTTCCCGTATATCCGCCTGTGGGTGTAGGTATTTCAGCATGAGTTAATAGTGGTTTTACATATATATATATATATATATATATATATATGTAATAAAAGAAATGATTATTTTTAAGGGCCGCTATCCTTTATAATTATACTCTAGAAACAATTCGTCAAATAGAATTACAGACAGGGAAGAAATCATAATAATAATAATAAATTTATTTATTATTGAGCAATATTACAATGTGATGGCATGTTTTGTAAATGTGATGTTCGTAAGCAAACCTTCTCTCCGGGATTAGCGCTAATGCGTGATTGGAAAAACCTCCTGCTGAAGGCACTGCTAACGTGACTCTTCTTGGCAGATCCCTTCCTGCTCCAGAGGTGTTTGAGTCTCCTTGGTGGATTCTGTGGTAGTTTGTCTGTTAGTAATGTTTGTACAAGTGGATTAGGATGTCCAGCTAAGGAATCCTGACAATTTTTGTAATATTTTATAATTACGTCAGTCACATGTGGTATTTGTAGGTTTTTATTGGTTATGTAGAAGAGACAATGAGTGATATACCGAAGAAATTTAGATTGGAAAATTTAAATATTCTATAAGTGTGCTTTGTCGCATGAATGCCACACCTGAGGGGCATACATCCATATTGGTCTGAGTAGCATTTTGTACATAATAATTTTGTTAGATAGTGATAGTTTGTTTTTATGGTGTAGTATTTATCATTGTAGTGACAATCGATGGCTCAATCAATTTTTTAATCTAATCAAGTCGAGTAGTTTGTCCATTGTGAGTCCAAAATTTTTGTCTCTGATTGATTTAGCAAAGGGATGTTGTAAAGTGTCAGTGAAGGGCAATCCGAACGTTTAAGTGTGAATGTAACCTGATTTGATTTTTGAATGTTAATTTGTTTTGCGCCATTTATCAAGCCAGTCTTGTAGAAGATTTAAATGAATCTGTGCTTTTTTGGATGCTGAGATCGGATTAGATTCAGTCGAGAGTACGACAGTGTCGTCTGCATAAGTTGCGAGTAATGTCTCTGGTGTCTATGGAATTTCAGAAGAGTAAATAGAGGACCTAAAATACTCCTGCACCGATTCGGCAATAGTCGGTGTGTTTACCATCCTGGTTATCGGACCATTCAGCGCTTATTTTATCTCTCTCTAAACACATGTTTACTACCAATCACATACCAACAGTAACTTGTGAACCAATATTAATTGATAAATTTCATTCCATTATTAATAATACAATTGACCTAAAGACAAGATTAAAGACGGAAAATGATCCTGACAATGCAATAATGACGCTTACTAGGACTGTACAAACTTCCTCTTGATAATCAGCTAACAACTGCAAACCGCGACAAACATTACTTATCCCCAGAAGTACGTTCACATGTAATTGAAAAACGACGTGCTCTCAACCAATAGAAAAGATCTCGCTATCCCAGTGACCAACAGCTACTAAACGCACTTTCTAACAAACATATACAAATTTATACAGCAATACAAACAGGAAGCTTACAAAAAACATCTGACCACCTTACAGACAAGTAACAATACTCTCTGGCAACAAACCCAAATGATACTAGGTATCATAGGTAGATAGTATTACTTGGGTTTACAGGTAAGGCAGTAATTTGAAGAGGATACTGGTATATTGTTCGTTTTACGATTATTGCCGAGCCACCACGGGCAGTAACGCTAGGATGATCAGCGCAGTACACTACATACCCTTGTATGTAAAATTTTGAAGTATGAGTAAAATGAGTTTCGGTTAGTAATGCAATGTCAATGTCATGTTCATGTAAGTAAATGTCAAATTCGTTCCTCGATTACGGCTCCATTTGAATTCCAAAGAAGGATCAGTTTGAGAGTGTTGTTTAATAGAACTAGGAACTCACATCGGGAATAAATTTGGTAATTAATGTGGAAATAAGAGTGATGAGCGGAGATATCCTAGAAAAATCATTTAAGGAGTTAAAATATAATGAAAGGTCTGGAGTATTAGGTTGTGTATTGGATGTTGTGTAATAAGGTCTTGAGTATGAGGTTGGCGAGTATTGATGCGGTATGAAGTAAAATTGTGATTAATGATGTACTGAATGGTCAGGGATTATCTTCGTTTGGTTTATTGAATGCTGAGGAGTTATACTTGTAGCATGAGTTGTAGAGTATTGAGGGGATATATTTGAAGTTTGAGGATCTGTAATTTGAGGAGTCGTATGATGAGGAATGGTATCGTGAGGCATTTCATTATGAGGAGATATATTTGAAGCTTTGGGATTTGTAATTTGAGGAGTTATATGATGAGGAGCGATAATATGAAAGATTGCATAATTAGGTAATATTCATCGTTTGAGCAGTTGTGAATTGTGGTGTTGTGTTGTGATATGTAGTGTTAGTACACGTCGCCTGTGCGTAAGTCATGTTGTGTCGTTCTTGCAAGATATGGACAGTGCAAGTAAGTGATGGTGTTCCGCCTCTCGAAGCAGATGTTCTGTTACCTCTCTACTCGAAGTGGCCTGGCTCCACACATTTAGTCTTCTTTTCTGGAAATCTAGGTGTACTACGCATCTCCCATAATTTTCAGGATGATTGCAACTGCACAGCGCACAAATAGGTGGCTCTTTAAGTGGTTTCTGGCATCTATCACTAGGATGATCTTGACCGCACTTCACACATATTGATTTGTGATGGCAAAATGTTCTGGTGTGTACCTATCCTTGGCATCTCATACGTTGAACAATATTTCTTAAGACAACATCATTGTTTGGAACTGGCTCTAAGTCAAGAAAGAAAAGTGGGAGTGGTTCTTTAGATCTCGGATGTAACACATTAGAGGTAATACGGGCGTCGAATCCGTTTCTCTCGAGATCATATTTTATCATTTCGTGAAGTGTTGATAATCTATATGGTTTGTCTTCTTGAGACTGGAAAGAGTGAAAGTTGTAATTGTTGGTTTCTAGATACCTAATACAGACTCTATAGGCATCACTTGTTTTAGCTTTTAATCGATATGTTAGAAAAACATTCAAAATTATTTTCTCCTAAAAGATTTACTAGATCCGTGCATAGTGTTTGGAAGTTAGTTACACCTTTTATTTTAATTGTAGATGATTGATGAGCAACTGCTGTTTCGTCAGGTTCATCTTCCATTTCGGTAGAAAGAGGTTCAAACATATAGCTGCCTAGAATGTTAGGTATACTATTTATTGTTGTTGGAATATTTGTTGTACTTGAGCTCTGAATAACATTTTCGGGTACTTCACTGTTGTTCATCATGTTCTAGTGTAGATTCAATTATATGTGTCGAAGAGTTATTATTTGCAATAATACATATATTCATTTCAGTATTCGTGGAGTTAGGTAGGTTATGTAAATTAACATATGTTTGCTTTTGGTTAGGATTTTTTTATGCAATTTTGATCACAGAATTGTTTGAATTCGCTCTATTTTTCTCATTTGTTCCATCTTTCGATGAAATACTTGAATTACCTTCCTCTTCAGCAGTTTTGAAAAAACGCCCTGATCTGACAGTCCACTCCAGCCAGCTAACTGGCTTGCACTCATAATTAAAGTGTCTGTTTTCACTTTAAAAAAGCTATACAAAAAGATTATATTTTTTAAGAGAACACATTTTCACAGGACACATTACGAATACTAGAATTCAATAATTTATAAGAAGAAGAATTTGTTTAGCAACCACACTGTTCAATCGTAACAGAAATCATGAATTAAAAAAAAACAATATAATTATTCATAGACAAAACTCTTTTAGTGGCTAGGAAAAAAAGAAAAAAAAAATTAAACAGAGCTCACACACTGGCCAACCATTGTGTATCATATCACAATTATTTCCCTTAACATGATCATCAAGGATAAAAAATTGTTTGAAAAGGCTTCATTCATTCCCAAAAAAAAATTAGTTGAAAAGGCACTTGCTTTGAATATTCCGTGGTACAGACCACTATTTATCAAATTTCGTACATAGCTTCATTTCATCGTAACCTACAACTATTTTATTTACAAAATTCTCGGAATTGGGACGTTTTCTAAGTGGAGATCGGCAAACTTTGGCTATTTAATTAGGAACTAAAAACTCGTAAATAACCATTTTTTTTTTTTTTCTTTTTTTTTTGTTCTTCCCTTCCTCGCCTTTTAGGCTATACGGGATTTTCCCGGGCCGGGGGGTGAGGGCGGGGAAATTTAAAATCCCCTCCGGCACCGGGACGCGAACTCGTACTTTTTATATCATCTCAAATCTCTGTTATCCGGTTGCCAGGCAGCTAGCGGTGCTGTTACACACGCTTTAGCCTATTCGGCCACCCCGCCACCCAATAAGATTGTGTTTTTTTTATGGGACCACTCGGACTGCGTACCTCCCCGTCAGCTTGTCCAAAAGGACAAACCGAACGGTCATCGATGACCCGTCAGTTCTGCTAGAGAACCGACGGATCCGCCTCGCGCTCAGGAGAGGACGCTATCGATCGTCATCGTGGTTTTGAGTTACCCGACGATTACCGCCGAGGTGAAGATCAACGAACTACAGAAATGATCCTGTAGAAGTATGATCTTGCATTTGCTTTCGACTTATATCGTAAGATAATTTGAGCGAAAAATCTAGAAAAAAAAGGAGGCCCCCAAAAATATTGAACCGTTTGGCGTGACCTACCCTCTCCCCCCCCCCCCTCCAGCACATCCAAATAACGAAGTTATCCAGGTCAAACGGACCAATATTTTTGTAGGCGACTTTTTTTTATCTAGATTTTGTGATCAAATTATTTTACTATTCTATTCCATTATAACTCAACAGCGATGAATAGAAGAGGGCTGCATGGTACATGTTGCGTCATCAAAATTTTAGAGGGGGCACATTTTAAGGAGTGCTTTGAATTATTTAGGGAGCAGATCTCGACAGGCTTATGAATTTGTGGATGTAACTGTATTTATGTGGTTTCGAGTTGGAGACGCTTTTAAACCAGATAGAGAACAGAGGGGGAGGGGGAGGATATGGAACAGACCACAGCAAGTGAAATTGTCTATGATTGACAATTTTTCTTATACCACTTTCGTTTATACAGTTTTCAAGAAGAGGAGGGAAATACTTTTTTTCGGAAGTCGACAAGTGAGTATATGCTATCGATCATGGGGAGAGGGTAAGGATTCCTGTACCATTAAGCCATAAGAAGGGTTAAAAAGCCAGGAATTTGGCCAAAACCATACAAATTAAAGCCATCCAAAGATTGGCAAATGCTACTCTGAGTACCGAATGCCAAGTCTTTTACTTAAATTTAATCAATAATGGGAATTCAATCACTACTCCAGTTAATCGTTTGGAATCAACTGAAGTAGTAATTAAATTGTTTGGTACTCAAAAAAGGTCAATATTTGAGTAAAATACTAGGTACTCAGTGCTCCGAGTAGTGCATCTCTGACGCCAACGGTGGTGGAAAGTAGATTTTTCACCATTCAAAGGAATAACCACACATAAATTCTCAAATATCTCTATAAATCTCTATTCTATCCACCGTATTTCCAGACATTAGTAATTCCAACTACAACTTGTTTCCATAAATGACTCGTGGAATGTCTAAGCGGTATTTCCGTTCCTAGGAGGAATGCAAAAAATGAGTCGATTCTTGAACTGCCTACAAGGACCATTCCTACAGAAAAGTGAGGAAATGTAGTGGCTATTGGTGCCAAGTGTTTGATCATGGACGTATCCAAAAAAGATCAAGGTGCCCCTCCTTCTAACATGGAAAAATTTAAATTAAAATAGCAACAAATGTACACCAAAATTTTCTAAAAAGAAAATTAGGAAAAGCAACAAGTTGGTTGTTAGTACGTCAGCAGGTTAGAAGAAACAATTTACGAAATAATGAAAAGACTGACTAGATACCGCACTATTAAATTCGGTCACTTAGGTTCTGAATTGGCTAAGTCTTTCACTTTAAGTACATAATAAATTTGTTCCCATTGCTACACTGTAAAGTCCCAATGTTCCTGAAAAGTCCTTTAAAACTTACTTTCATCTCCAATATTTAACCTGTTTTTTACCATTTTGTAACTACAGAGCAAGATTTAAAACTACTCATTTTGATGTGGAATAAATATTTGACCAACATATTACAATGAATAACAAGTTAGAAAAATATATATGTATTTTTCATGAAGATGTAACATACAACAAAGATATTGTAAAATTACTTGCCTGTGTATACTGTTTAACTCAATAAACTGCACAATTGCAATAACAATCAACAATTAATTAGTTTGCATTCTGTAATCTTCTAAACTTGACTAAGACCCATAAATTTGTAAAACTGTAATTATTCTTAGGGCACTGTAGTTCCAGAACAAAATTATTTTTTCATTTCAACAAAGATATAATTTGTACGCATGTAGGCGTTTTGATGAATAAAGAAGTCTTTACATCTTCGAAGGTTTATATGAATTTATAATTAACACTAACATGGACATTAAAAAACAAGTATATTTTGTTAATAAAATTTGTTTTCTTTGTATTTGACCCAATATTTTTTTTTATTTATTTTTTTTATCGCAGTTTTGGAGCCTTTAGCCACAAGACTTTTAGAGCAGCCACCTACATTTTAATTCATATGTTTGAAGGCTAAAAACCCTTTAATATGAGCTCCTATCTATTTGTATTTTAATGTTACATTGTTAATAAAAAATAGTAAATTTGTCAATAAACATAATGCTGGTTAAACTTTTTTTCGACAAGAATAATCGAATATTTATAAGATCATAATATATTAAAAGTTTAATTCATAGTATATCATAATCGTTATTTAGATTATTACACCGGCATTTATTGCATACTGTTTTATTCATAATTGATACATAATATCATAAATAACATAACTTCAGAAAATTTAATGTACTTACTAAAGTTGAAATTAATAGAAGTATTTATGACGCATAGTGGAACTCGTAATTTTCTATTTTACTTTCGGATATAATATCATTCCAAACACATGTAATTCGGGTGAAGAGTAATAAGCCAGGCCAAGTTGTGTTAGTTGCCTAGTCTGTAATGATGTAGTTCTGAGCAGGTTGTGTCCTTGTAGCAATGTCAACTTCAAATTAGACAAAATATTTTCCACATTGACGTTTCAAAAATTCTCACATTTTGATTTTCACAATGATGCCTAAAGTATATGCTAAAGTAAGTTCAAGCTAGGAAAAGGGATTCGAAATTGTTTCTATTTTAGGTGGTGACGGTTTGCTCACTGAGCAGGTTATGTTACCCAGAATTGATTTTCTTTAGATTATTTTATAAAAACTACAGTATTGTGCGAATTTCAACGTTAAATAATTTATTTAAATTAGTATTTATTTAGTTCATTTTAACTTAGGGAATATTTTAAATGTTCCAGGAGCGAAGAAAAGGTGCCTTGGGGTTTGATCTAGTAAGTAATTTATAAAACTTGCTTATTAAACATTTATTATTAAAGAAATCATTTATTGATTATTTTGTGTTGTATAAGTCATTATTTAATCTTTAATAAAAGAAATCTTGTTTTTTTTTTTTAAACTCATGTTGTATGATGAAATTGATTTGTTAAGGTGATAGTATACAAATATTCAGATAGAATTAACTATAAACTTAATTTCACAGAAAACTAATCATAAAGTTATTCATCAAATTTTATTTGTTATAGCCAGATTAAGATTCGTTCAGGCATTTAAAATTGTTGATTTTTAATTCATTTTATTTGCTTTGACCCCATTAAGTTTATTTAATGATTTGAAACTTGATATATTAAACCAATTGCCTTTAAAACACTTGTAGTGGTGTTTCCTACTTAAGAATGATTTGTCAAATCCTGAATATAATTTATAATATATAAATTAACACATCAGCAATTGCGCTTCATGTAATAGATTTTCAGATCATCATTGTTTATATTGAATTTTTTCAATTATATGAAAAATATCAAACTATTTATTTTTGAGTTAGTCAAGTATGTTTATACAGTGATCAAAATTCACTTCATTGGTTTGTGGTAAAAGAATGAGTGTATGGATTGTAATGTGTTTAAGTTGTATTATTTCTGTTATATCACTTAAATGTCGTAATTATTTGGAAAGATAATTAAATCTGAGAGATTTTTCTTTGTTTATCTTGAAATATGCTTTCATTGTAATATTATTTCTACTCCTCCATATTAATATAATTGTTTTTGTTTAGGATGATTGATGAAATGATTTTATATTTTTTTTAATATATGGAATCACTATAATTTTAGTGAAAGTGCTAAAAATGTATTAGTTTTGGATTTTTAGAATGAAACCCCATTTGGTAGTGGTACCCCTTGCGAAACCACTTCAAGTAAAACAGAATCGCAAAGCATCAATCTACAGGGCATTGCAGTAAGTTGTATTTTCTAAACAAAGTACATATTTGTGTTTATATATTTTTAAACCCATCCTTAATTATACAGGCGAGGGTAGATGTAGTTACAGTGGATGGATTACGAAGAACCAAAGACGATATAGTTGCTAATACTGTAAAAGATTTATTTGGTGCAACCAACTTCGAAGAGGTAATGTTAATTCAACAATTATTATAACTGTTGTGTCAATTTTTTTTTATTCAATTCTTTTTTATATTATACTTAACAGTTAAAGGCCTCATAGTTACAATTGTATTTTGAGAATTTTGATTTAACAATATCATAGCTGACTAGTATTTCTTCCTTTTCTTATTATTTTGATAATTAATATAGCAAGTTAGTGAAACAAAAGGTTATTTTTAACCATTTTAAATATAAGTTTGTATTTCTCTTTTTTGATCATGAAACTTAAGGAATAACATTTTTTGTGTGTAAATTATGATATATTTTAGGGATGGACGATAGTCGATATTAAAGAAATATTTTTACACCTCCACTTTTTCCGAAGGGAAAAAAAATGTTGCATTTACCTCACCTTTTTTATTTATTTTTGCATTGTAAAATTATATTTACAAAATCCACAAGGCTGCCATTACTTTTTTATTATTTTTTAAACTAAGTGGTATCATTAAAATAAATTTAGGAAATTAGAATCTTGGAAATCAAAAGATCTAAGCATTTCTCTCCTCCTTTTTTTACTGAATAGTTAAATAAAATAAAAAAGTCAATAATGTTTTTAATTATTTATTTAATAATTATTGTTAGTACCTTAACATAAATCTTTAAAGATGTATCCAATGTTAATGTTAATTATTATAAAGTTTATACATTATTTTAAAGTAAATAACAAGAATATAGCAAAAATAAACCCTTTTTAAGTCTATGTCAGAAAGTTACTGTACTATCGATAGTGGAAAACTATTGACTATCGTCCATCTCTCTATATACTTCTTGGTAATGACTACTACAGCGTGCCATTTATGCATTTTTAGAACATGCATTTATCCAATCAGTTAAAGTAAAACTGAGTTTTTGATCTATTAAAAAGTATTTCTTAATTTATATTTGAATAGAAATTAATGGTTTAGTTAATACTCATTTATTTGTCTGTTTTAGATAATAAAAACAGCTCATGGAGTCAGACAGAAATTGCTGCAGCTTGGCTGTTTTAAATCTATAGCCATTCATATAGACACTAGTTCAGGTCCAGCAGCAACGCCTTCTGGTTTTGAGGTAATCATTGCTTCATGATTTTGTTTTATTTGTTTATTAATAATTGATTTTTCCTTTTAGCAATATAAAGCTCAGTACTATTTTGATTAATCCAGAAGGTGATGGTAGGGTTGTTTTCAAAAAGCAATTACAGTATAAAATGTTCTAGTGTTTATTTTAACTTATCTCCCAACAAGTATCACATGCATTACATTATTATTGTTATAGTTCTGCATTATTCTTTGTTCAGATTAAACTACCCTCTGAATAAAAGAATGATATCTTAAAGAACTGTTTTCCATGGTTAATTTAATTACTTTGTGGGTTCATATTAATTATTTTGGGAAATAACAACTGTAAAAATCAAACAATTATGTCTGCTATAAATCAAGTTTTGACGCCTTTCCCAAATTCTTTAACAAAAATAATAAAATACTGATCCAGTTTATCAATGGAATTATGGAAGTCGGCAACTTGTTTTTGCCTATTCTTTATATTAGAGAGCCAAGAATATAAATAATTAATAAATAAATTAAATAATTATCTTTCAAGTCACTTAAAAATAGTTAATTGTTGTTATTTTTCATTTTAGATTGTTATTATTGTTATAGCATTATTCAAAGATTATGTATGAAGATTATTTTTTTCAGGTTAACTATGAAGTCAGTGAATTAAAACGAATAACTGGTGGTATCACTACCAATATTTCTAATTCTGGTGAGGGCATTTTCTCATTTGGAGGTATCTTTCCAAATTTATGGGGTAGAGGGGAGAGTCTTAAGGGAGACGTGTCTTATGGCTCTGGCAGTTCAAGTACAGCAAATGTAACATTTGTCAAGCCTTTCATTTCAGCTCATAACCTTGTGTACGTATTTACTTATTTATTCGCCACATAAGCTTCTATCGGTTAATAAACTTTATCAAATTAAATAGTTTACTGATCCGAGAGGTGTATATTGAAGTGGGATTTATAATCATGAAAGTTTTGGTTAAGTCTACAATTAATGCTTCATCTTCATTTCTGTTCTTTTACTTTAATCAACACCATTTTATTTACTCATTTTAGTGGTGTTAATGTTTTTGGAAGACCAACAAAACATACAGTGTTACCCAGTTTGGTGACATAGTTTTTCGTCTTTTGCTGTTATTAACTTTATTAATTTTTTTTTAATGACTCAATACTGTCTTTAAAATTAAAGATATTCATTTTCAAAAAGAATGATTGGGGTGATCAGTAAAAAAAAAAAAAAAATAATAAATAAGTATCTTTATTTTTACTGATTATCCCAAGGATCCTTCTCTTCAATTATTCACTACAGCAAACCATTAATCCACAATTATATTTATTGCCATTGTGCAGTGTTTTTTTTATTCTTCCAATCACCTCATGGAGAATTCCTTTATAACGTAATATTTTCTAAAAATCTTATTTTTTTATAATTTTTAAAAAATATAATATAGTAATTTTAATGCTCATAACTGGAGACCTTTCATATTATTTGTTTTTAAATCAAATATTTAAAGCCTTTTTTTTACTAAATATAAATATAAGTTTATAATATTTTATTATGTCCTTTTCTTTATTTTCATTATTATATTATTATATCTTGAAAATAATATAATTAAATTCCTGGAGTGAACTATTTTTAAAATGAGATATAATCTTGACCAAAAATTATAAAATTATTTATGTTCATTACTTGAAACTTCATACAGTTGGCTTTTTTTTTATTGTTTCTGTGTGTGTGTATATATATGTGTATATATATATATATATATATATATATATATATATATATATATATATATATATATATATATATATATATATATTAATAACATATTATACATTCTTCGTCTTCGTTAATTATTCTGTATACCTTTGAAATTATTTTCAGAACCAAATAACCCATGATTAGTAGAATGTAAAACTGTATGTGTAAAATATTTATAGAAGTGATGGCTAGTTCACTTTAATAACTGGTTATGAAGTTAATAGAACAAATATTTTTTTGATTTGACAATTCAATTAACTATTCCTTTATAATCGCCAGCAAAACTTATTTAGTCATTCTTTTGTATTCTTGTTTTTAAAAAATATTAATTTACATACTGAATTGATGGTTATAAAAAGAAATGACCAGTTTTGATTTACTGTAATTTATTGAATCCCATCAATGTAAATATTTTAAAAAAAAAATTGTTTGTTCTATTTCTTGAAATGCTCATCATCAAATCAGTTACGATTTTATTTTTTATTTCTCTAATTCCTTTCTTTAACCCTGACAGTGGGTCTCTTTCAGCAGTTAAAAGTTACAATGAGGCAAGTAGCTCTGGGTATAACCTCTTTGAGAATGGACTTATTGCCGAGTGTGCTTATACATCTTTTCCAGGGGTAAGTATACATGGTCTAATATTCTTTTCAGTTATGTAATATCTATAGTTTAGATTAGTCTATTGCAGTAATAAGCTGTAAAAATTAATGATACAATTAGTTGTTTTGAAGATTTATATTGATTTACATGAAGAATTGATGATTTAAGGTGGAAGTGAAGGAAGGCGTCATATTACCAATTTGAGATTCTAAAAACTAATTTATTGAAGAAATGTCTGATGAAGTTTTTTAACTGTTTTTAAATTTTGATCTTTATTTATTTTTTTATATCTATTCATACTTCAGTGTACGCCTTAAGGTTAGCTTAGTAAAAATCAAAATTAACTTTTGATATTTATTTATTGAACGTTTCGGGAAATCTATTTCTCTCTCTTCAGTAATCTAAAAAAATATATACTGATATACTTTAAGGTTCAATTTGGAAACCAGTCATTACTAACTAAAATACATAACATTTTGAAGAGGGGGACACAGATTCCCTGTAATGTTCAATTAATTTTGATTTTTATTAAACTGGCCTTAAGGTACACACTTAAGTGTTTATAGAAATTAATTTTTTTTAACATATCTTCTATCCATCCAATCCATTGAGAAATCAAAGTTAATGTTACAAGATGAAAATAAGCACATAACGCCTTCTTTCATTAGAAAATAAAATATCTTAAAAATTTGTTTTCTTTATCTGATGTATGATTGCTTATATAGCATATAAAAACCTGTTGTGATGAGTGTGTCGCACAGCTTTCACATACCACCCTGCTTTGTGTCAAAATAGGTATTTTTTTAGGATAGTGAAAGCAGAAAATATAGATGGTATAACATATTTATTTAATCAATTATTTTAACCATTAATTTTTCAAAAATTATAACTTTACAATGGTATGTTGTACATCTATACCTACTATTTTTATTTCGTGAACCTTGTTTACAAGTTGAGAAAATATTTCTCCTCTAGTTAATCATAAAATTAGAAATAAAAATAATTAAATTTCAAAATTAACTGTTTCAATCATTATGTTTGTCCTTAAGTTTTTATTACTACCCATATTTTATTTTCTTGCTAAATAATTATCTACAAAATTTGTTTTATGTTTGAAGTCTTTATTTTAAACATTAACTTAGTTTATTACTCCATATCGCCAGTTTATTAGAAAAAGTCTACAGTATTGATTTGCGAATTTTAGGCATATTTATTGATATAAAAATTCATTAAATGCTTAAATAAAATACAAACCCTACTATTATTAGATGTCATAAATGCAAATGAGTGCACTATGTTTTGATTCCACAGATATAAAATTCATCAAATTAATGTTTTAATGTTTTAATGACTTTTCACTATCAACCAAAGACCATTTTGTGAAATTTGGATATTTGGACTCAGGAAACCTTAAAATGTGTATTTTGGTCGAAAATTTGGATTTAAACCGTTATATGATCACTATCATTATACATTCATGTATGGATAATAGAAAGTAAAATATTTTGTAGCCTCAATAACAGAAAATCTCTTTCCTTTAATTTAAAGCATAGTGTTTGTTTTTGAAATTTTTAATAATATAAAAGCCTATTTTCAGTAAATATTCTTACAATATTAATTTAAATGAATTAAATTTTAGTGGAACCATAAATTCCAATATGAGGCTAATTGGAGGTTGATGGGACCTGATACCAAGCAGACTTCATTTTTTGTTCGAAACGAGGCAGGCTCGACGTTAAAATCAAGTGCTCGTCATATATGGAACATCGACACCAGAAACTCTACTATTTTTCCAACATGTGGGCATTTAATGCAAATGACATCAGAATTTGCTGGCATAGGGGGCAATGTTAATTTTCTAAAAAATGAAATCCGCCTTCAAAATACTATCCCGAAAGGGGACTTTGTAAGTATATTTATGTATGCCTCTAGTTGGTTTACTCCTAAATATAAATATTAAAAAAATATTTTTGAATAGTTTTTATTAAGTATTATGGTGGGCCCACCAAAAAAACTTATAATAGTTTTATTTGACAAATTTGTTATTAATCCCATTTCGAATTTCAATCATTCACCATTATGTCATATATGAGTAACCATAAAATATTGGTTGTTAAACTATCTTTAATTTAAGTAGTCAGGAGCTTTTCTATTTTTTTTTTTCAATTCTTTTTCTGTTTCTAATTACCTACTTTAATAAACTATCAAAATCAAAATAAGCAAAAAAGAAAAATTTATTCTTACGCCATTTCTTTTGTTTTTTAATATCCAGGAAAACAACATTTCCTAACTAAATGAAAACAATTCAATTTAAATGTGCAGAGATAGGGAAAAAGCAACTCTGAGTAACAAGTATTTTAGTGAAATTTAATTACTACTAGTTGGCCTGTGCGAATAATTCGCATAGAATATTGTCAGTGAACAATTGACAATATAATCTAAAAATTAGTTTATGATATATATTATGAGATAAAAGAAATAATTTTATTTTTCTCTTTCAAATCACACTAGTTCATTCAAAATAAACCAAAACATGTATAGATTACTATTGGCCATATCTTTGAAAATCATGGTCTGATTTAGATTTTTTTGTTTTGTTTTGTTTAGTAGGGAATTTAGTCAATTTTCAAATAAATCTTTGTTTCTAATCAAGCAAAAAATGTATACTTTTTGATTTATTCACATGCAGTTTCTTTTGCTTCATAACTTTTATTTCGCGAACTTTTAGAAGGATGGAAACATTCTGTAAATATAATTTGTCAAATTTATTTATTTTTCAGATCTTCCAAGGTGGCCTTAACCTGGGTTTATTGAACCCCATCGGCGAAGGAAAAGTTGATGTTATTGATTCCTTCTTCTTAGGCGGTCCTTTAGGTTTTCGAGGGTTTACAGGTCGGGGTATGGGACCCAAGGAAGGTGAAAATTATGTAGGAGCAAAAGTAAGTTTTTCAATATGTTTTCTACTACATATGTATTATTCTAATTTTATGTTCTTTCAGATAGTTTTTGTCTACAAAAACTAAATCTATCAATTTAACACTCAAATAAAACTTGTTTATAGGTTTTAGCATTGTTGGCAAATTATCCCAAATGATTTTAATTTGTGAGTTTTCCCCCCTTGAAAATGACATAAAGAAATGTTAGTGAATTAAAATAATAATATAAAGCAGATGGATCTATTTGAACTTTTGTTATTAAAAATAAGAATCAAATTTTAACCAACTATATTTAAATATTTATTGATTCAATTATTATTTTAAAATACAATAATTGCCTAAGGTCTTGTATGTAACATGAAAACATATATAATTGACACTTCACTATTTAGGTGAATAAATTCACCAACACTTGTCGACCTTTACACTGATAAAAGCCTTCTTCATGAAGAATTCACTGACTAATTAGGACTGAACTAAGTCACTGTATCATATCTTCAACTACTAATAACGGAGCTGAACTAACAGATATATGTTGAAATCTGTTGACTGCGAGCTTATCTTAGAGAAGCTTTAAAAAGCACACACAAGTTTTGCGGCTAGGTCCCCTTGAATCTCATTGATCGAAGCCATGGTGATTCTTAATAACTTTTGAGATTCAAAACAATTATAACATTAACTCTAATAACTTATGGTTATTGCTTTGAACTAAATGTTACACCTATAAAATCACTTCAGTATATTAGTCCATTATATTTGTATGAAGGTTGGTGAATGAAAAGCTTTGTATTTGAAGGTTATTCCATATTCAGTTTTACAAAGCTAATTTTTTTTTTTTTTACTTCAAATTAAAGATTTTAATTAATAAAAAATATGAGCTTAGCTAATAAAGAAAAAAAATATGTAAAAAGAATGAGAAATCAAATCTTAATTTCTTTTTTTTATATTCACCTCATGTTTTAGCACCGCTTCAGTAAAGCCTAGTCCACAATTGTGGGTAACGTTTCGGGTATTTGTTGCTGTGCTGAATCATTATGTGTAGGCACAGCTGCTGTGATTATCATTATGCCCAAGTTAAAATTTCAAGTATCGAGTTATGCCAGTCTTTTAACAAGTTACTTGTTTCTAAGAAGTGGGGCAGTAAAGAAATCGGTTACTTAGTTAAATTTAACTTTGTTTTATGCTTCAATTTTGTTAATAAATATTTATATTATTAATTCACAAAATTAATTCTTTTTGTTTCCAGATGTATTGGGCTACTGGGTTCCATCTATATACACCCCTTCCTTTCAGGCCTGGCGAAGGTGGTGTTGGAGACCTTTTCAAGTTACATATTTTCACCAATATTGGAAACATAGGGGAATTTGATTTCAGTAAGCCACATTTTGTATTTTTGTATGTTTTTTTAAGGATTCAAGATCATGATTGTTTGATCTATTAATATAAATCAATTGTCAGCGATTTAGGTAGTACAGGTTTATTCATTGTTGTTAAGACTTGGAAGAATTTTTTATCAGTTCAAACTTTGGTATTCTATCTTAAAGTAACTAAAAAGGAATTATCATTTTGTCTTCTGTTTTCCTTTTTTTTTTTAAATATAATTGGGTGATGTTAATCAATTAAATTTAATATTTCTCAGTCTGTAGATCAATGTGTCAAGATTTTTTTCATAATCATAACAGTACTTAAAAGTTTATAAGTAAACTAAAGTATTAGTGTAAATTTTGTAGTTGATTTTCACATCATTTTTCCTGGGGTTATCTTTTATTGATCCAAAATGTAGATTGCATTGTATACAGCGTGTTTCAGGGTTAAATGGCCAAACTGCAAAAATGAACTAAGGACCTCAAAACAAGAAAAAAATTTACTCTGAAGGCATGTCAGCAAACACTTTGTTTAGGAGATATTCACACCTAAAGATTTCCATTGTTATGAATTATTTATGTTATAGGAAATAAATGAAACCTATTTATTTGTTCTATTTTGTTAATTAAATGTAAACATTAACATTCATATTAAATGTTGTTCAAAGTGAAAGTATGTCCGCAAACACTTTATTTAGGAGATGGATTAGATAGAATACTAATATGGCCTTTTATCCCTAACTGTATAAAAACTACTGGCAACATAAGGATTAATGCCATTTGGAATTAGCATTGGAAACTCTCAATAACATCTATCAGTTTGTAAAAGCTTTCGCAGAGTACTCATCATTATGCCTTACATTTATTCCAATACCAAATATTAGTAAATAGTGAATATGGCGATATAGTGTTTGTATACGGTTTTTGCAATGCTAATGCTGCCCGTCGTGTATGTGCCAGGCGATTTCCGATTAGAAGATTACCAAACAAGTCTATCTTTATTTCCACGTTTCAACGTCTTACAGAAACTGGTACATTTGCTATGATACCACGTGCTGTTGGTATTTTTGCCCCTTTACGAAATGAAGAAAGGAGTGCGACCATATTACAATAAAGTAGTTGGAACAAATAAACAAGTTTTATTTACTTAATGTAACATAAATAATTCATGACAATGAAAATCTTTAGGTGTGAATACCTCCTAAACAAAGCGTTTGCAGACATACCTTCATAGGAATTTTGTTTTGTTTTGAGGTCCTTAATTTATGTTTTCAGTTTAGCCTCTTAACCCTGAAACACCCTGTATACCAGACCTCAGTTTCAAGGAATGGGTCGTTTCTGGTCCAAGGTTTTTTAAGTATTAAAAAGAGTATTGATAAAAGCCAGTGACACTATCAATTGCTTTATAGTTCCTTATTTACTGTAATATGATTTATTTCTCTACTTTTATTTTATCTAATAGTTTATTTGTTGATTACAGATAGCATTACAGGCTTCTTTGATGAACAGAAAAATAATTTAAGAATTGCAGCTGGGCTGGGTTTCGTGCTCAAACTTGGAAGTATGGCCAGAGTAGAACTGAATTTGGTATATCCCATAAAAGCAGGAGAATCAGACAATCCAGTCACCGGATTACAAATTGGCGTTGGTGGAGATTTTCTTTAGCTGTCACAGTCTATTATAATGTTTGTACATATCCAGTCCTAACTTCCCATAGCGAAAGTGGGAAGCTGTTAAATCATTAGTCAAAATTATTAAATAAAGTGCTTTTACAATCAACTAATGTTTAAATTTTTTTTAACCTTAGTTATACTTTATTCTACATGCTAGGTTCATTTCAGTTTTACTATATCTATATATGTAAAAATGAATGTATGTCTGTCCGTCTGTTTGTCCTCAGTGCATTACTAAACCATTCAACCGATCGCCATGAAACTTTGGGAGGTTGTTCCGTACACTCCTGGGAAGGTTTCTGGCATAGTACTTCTGTCTTACGATAATTTTATATATGTAAAAAAAATAAAAATGTAAATGTTTTTCTGTTTAAAGCCGCAAAAAATGTGTCGCTATAAACTGTAGTGCCGAAACAGCTTTACCGATTTTAATGAAACTTCGCTAAAGTCTTCCCCTTGAAACCCTTTTAATTTATGTGTATAACATACTTTCCCGAAAAAAAGCTGAAAAATGTTACGATGAATTCAATATTTTATTTGACGATAACTAAAAAAGTACACAATTTTTGACTGATAATACCCACATTTATTTGAAAGATTCCTGATTTGCTGACAAAATAAAAAAAAAAATCATCGAAATCGGACGGTTCGTTGCAGAGTTATTGAGTTTTAAACATTTACTGATTTCTGTTCAGAAAAGGCCGTTTCCTTTTGATTTTGCACTAACGAACGTCGGCAAGCATTTTTTATTTTTTTTTATTGATTAATCGAAAATTTTATAATTACTACAGTAATTGAAATTAACATTTGAAGAATTTATATGATTCTCCTTATGTAGGTCAATACTATTATACGTTTTTTAAATTAATTTAGTTTTATAAGTTCAACTCAGACTGGTTCTGATGATTATGAATGACGGCGTATTTACTCAGATGATTGTGAGTGTTCAATTTGAATCATGAGAAAAAAAAAAACAATTAGAATTAGTTTCCATTGAAGCCATTTTACAGACAAATTTGTTTTCCAACTTTTTAAAAATGACAGATGCCCTTTGCTACTCATCTACTCATATGTGCTTTCTATTTTCTTTATTTTTCATTTTGCCAGGCTAAGCCACAGCAGTGCGTGGCCGGGTAAAGCTAGTTTTTAATAAAACACCACTTTTTACATTAAATTGTAGCATTCCATTAAGAGTTAAACTTAGGAAAACATCATCTTTTTAAAAGATTGATAGTGACAAAGCATTTTATGAAACACAAAAAGTCAGATTCAACAAAATAAATTATTAGCCACGAAATTAAGGCATAAGTTTAAACCATGCAAGATCTTAAAGCGAACTGTATCATCACTACGCCTATTTAATGCTTTACTAACCATTGCTACATCTACTACTTCTTTTCTAGACAATCTTGAGGAAAAATGTAATTCTTATTTCCATGAATCATTTTTTTAAATTATGAAAATAAAAACGCAAAAAGGTTAAATTTTTCTTATACATATTTCCAAAGATAATTAGTATTAAAGGAAAATAGCCATGAGAGTAGGGACATAGCTTAGAACATTGTTTCCAGCTATAAAACTTCCACCCAAGACATAGCTTTCAGTTTAAAATGTATTTTATTATCTTTTATTAATGCATATTAAATAAATTAAGAGTTGAGAGACAATTCGACAGTATCATGTTATGCAGCTTTATGTGTCACACTAAGTACACCCCCAAAAGTCTGCCACTATAAGGGGGTCCAAACACAAGCTCTTTTACAATTGTTCGTACACTTCTTCAATAATTATTAATTTATGTTTGAACTATTAATATTAAAATAATCTGGTAAATAAAGGAATAAATAAACAATAATGTTAGGTTGGTGCTTTAAATTTTATTATGCATCATCAATATTAACCAACAATGCAAGATAAATTATGTATAAATTCACTATACAACTTTATATAAATATAAAACAATGGCTGATTTTCATTATAACTTGTACCTCCAACATCTTACTCAGATTACTTCAGCAACCGAGAACTAAATAGTGCTTTCAAATAAACTGAGCAAATTAAAAAAAAAAAAAAGTCTATTTGTACAACAGTGATAAGTAAAATAGTATACATTATACTTGACCAATCAATTTGATTATAAAATCAAAGCAATAATTTAATATTGACATTATTTTAAATAACAGTTTAATTAATTCTTCAGAATAAAAAAAACAAAAGAAAATATGATTTAGCAGTTAATTGTACCTTCTGTTTATAACTTGGTGTATTATTATTTGATGGTATTGCTCCAGTAATAGTAACATTTAAGGCTACCCTCATCCTATCTTTTCTGTAAGCCTATTAAGATAGACACTTTAGGCCCCATAAATTCAAACGAGAATTTAAAATGGAATTGGATCGATAGGAGAAACATACAAAGAGAAATAGGTAAAAGACACAGAAATACAAAAATCGACTAGTTGGGGAGATAATGATATCAAATGAGCAGAGGTCGTGGTTATTGTACCAATGCTACAAACCAATCCTACTGCAACACCAGCCCAATCTGAAAAAAAAAGTATTCAATTCAAAAAGGTTTAATAACAACTTACAATGATAAATAAGAATTAATCAATGCAAAATTATAATTTCTGCTCATAATTGTACTAAAAAAAAAAAAAAACTGTCAGTTTTAAACCCTAGAAAGGTATTCTATGTAAATATAGAACAATATGTAGATATGATGTAAAATTTTATCATCTTTGTCACTACAAAATGGAAAAAGAATTAATATTTTTTCTTCTAACATATATCAACCTTACTGCAACTAAAAATAGATAAGTAAAATATAAGATAGTTGCATAATAAGGAAAAAATATTGCTTTCTAAATAAAAAGATAATAAAATGTTAAGTGGGGGCCCTAAAGGCGATGGATATTCCAATGATCAGGACAACCTATGATCCCTGCAAAAAGAAAAAAAATTGTCTTTCGGTCTATTCCTCATTCACAAAATAAACTTTTGACTTGTTTCTCCAAAAAGTGATATTTAATTATTTTTTTGTCAACTCCAAAAAATATTAATATTTTCAATTTGTCTAAATATTTTACTTGTAGTATTTTCAGACAAAGACCTCACAGGGAATACCCATTTTTTAAAAAGTTAATTAATTATTATCTGTGGTTTACTACTTTCTTGAAACTTGTTGACAACAATAATTATGTTTTATTGGGTTTAAGACATTACGAAAGCAAGCCTTTTTTCTTCTGAAAGACAGAGGGTTAAAGAGCCCAGCTCTTTAATGATGAATTGTGGAGGCAAATCTTTTTTATTCTTATGGCATCATCCCTAATATTGTTGGTTCACACTCTGACATTATACCAAATATGACACTGTGGAGAAACATGAGTCAATATATTTATATTTGTTACATGAAAACTTTTAGTTAATTCCTATAATAAACTTGTGCATCTAGAAGGTCCAGAAATTATTGAAGTTTTTAATTTTGTATTTATTAGGGTTAGTAAATACCATAAGTGACATTGTTAAAAGGCGTACAGTATTTAGTTGTATAAATACTTCCGATATATCTCTTACGGAGTCGCTGTAATTAGCTTGCAACTCGTCTTATCAGTTTTTAGTCATATCTCAGACTATAAGTAAGGAAGCTTAACTTTTTTATAGTACTTTGAAATAAAAGAACAATAAAAATGTTTTTAAAAAATTACAAAATCAAAAACAAATTGGGGCGTGACATACCCAAAACAGTTACATAAAATTGTTTAATACCACAGAATTTCAGTATTAATATACAGGTAGGTGCTCACAATAGCTAGGTGAAGATCAGCATTAGTTGAGTTTCGCATTAAGATTGTTTACACGAAAGTAATTACCCAAAGAGCTATTTATATCACTAAAATTTTCTGAGGTGTGCCAGGAACTGAGTATTCCTTAATTGTTACGATTGAATATTATTATTTTTTTTTTTTACTAAATCTGGCATTTAATTCGATACTAGCACGGTGATACATAAGAAAATATAAATATAGATTAAACAACTAGAAATAGGTCTTACCTTATTGGGAGGAATAGGGGGGCACCTCCAATTGAATAAATAGTATTGAAGATTTCCATCTCCAATTCCGAATTTAAGAGGTTCTAAAAATTCCTTATTCTCCATTAAATCAAGAGCATTAAATACGTCAAAACCAGCCTACAAATAAATTTTAAAAAACTTTTATCACTACCTATACATTGGAAGAGCAAAAAAATCATGATATATTTTTAATGTGAGAAAGTAAAATTTACTTAGGGATCCAACTCACATTTTTTGCTGATATGAGAGCATCTGTCATGAGGTCAACCCAAGGAGTTTTAGTAGAAACGTTGTAGAACGAGTAAGCGGCTTTGAGGGTTCTGTAGACAGGATGATGCATCACAGTTGAGGGAAGGGTATAGTAACTGACCAGATCTATTGTCACGGTAAAATTGCAAGTAAGTATAAAATAATATACAGGCTAATATAATGTATATGATATAATACTGAAGTAACAAGGTAAGGTTAGGTCATTTATTTTATGGTTATCTTCTTATTAATGTTTTTATTTTATCTTTAATTTTCATTGAAATCTAGAAAAACTAAATCTTCAAAATTAGAACTGAATTTTATTTGAACAGAGGGTTCTTTAATAAAAACCTATCCCGGTTTGATCCCATTGGCAAATTCGCTGTTTCATACAATTACTCATCATAACTTAAAGATATTAATATTACTTAATAATGCTAAAATTTACAGTTTTTAATAAATAACTTAATAAAAAGAACAACACATTTTTTAAGCCAATAATTCAGAGTAATAGAATAAATAAATAATCTGTGCGAGACCAAACACTGAACTATTTATCAATGCTAAGTGATGAGAGAAATGAAAAGGAGGCAAAATAAACTTTACCAGTAACTTCTCCATCAACTTCAACAACAAAAGCGTCAACAATTCCAGGTTGTGGAAGAAACCAATATCTTACTTCTTCATCGGAGAAGACAGGTGCAAGGTCAAATTTAGACAGGTACTGTAAAATGATTAATATTAGTATATTTGATAAATAAATTTAAATGAGTCATAAAATAGGAATAATGCTAATAAGCAGAGACTAAAGCTATCAAAACACAAAGAAACTAAATGATCTTTTTAGTGTGAGAAGGAGTTGATCGGGAGGTGCGGTCAAATAAATACTAAATTTTATACGCCGTTTCGACCCACCTTACAGGTCTCCATCAGGGCATGGCATGTGACTCTGTCCCCTGTTTCAACTGCCAACTATCTGATCTTTTTAGTGAACAGTTCTGACTTAAATCAATAAAAACCTTCAGGCTTGATAACCTTGCTATCCTGATTTATGTATTTGTAGGTTCCAATTTTAAAAAGTGTTTACAGTCATACAAAACAGTTCTTTTGGTATGTTAATTTGAAAAGAAAAGATAGTGGTTTCCAGGCAAATATAATTCTAGTTTGTGATCAATATAACTTAAAAAAAGTTTAGGTTTTGAGCCATTAATTTTATTAAAAATTTAAATATCCTACATCTGACAGAAGTTTTTTGGCTTTTGGAAGGTCTGCTGGAACGAGTTTTCTGAAACCAGGTGTTTTTGTTTGTTCCGGCAGTTTATACAGTTTTAATGTCCTCTGCATAGTCATATTACGACTCAAATGTGAGAATTTTACTTCTATCAGCTTTTTAGGATTTAACGATCTATGCCAATATCTGTAAAAATAAAATTGAAAAAAATATTTTATTAATTTTAAATTCAATGAAGCGATAATTGAGAATTTCCCAATGAAAACCTACCTGCATGTGCCCACGGGCTTTGGTAGCACTACACCAGCTGTGTAGACTGCTTGGAAGATACCTGTGAGATTCACACGCCTTGTTATTTCCCTTATCAGAACTGGAGCAACACGTTTACTCCGCAGCTTCTTATGCACACAAAGGAAATTAATTTCAACTATCGACTGCTTCCTGTAGTGGAATAAAAAAATTAAATTAAATAAAAAGTATATTTCAGGATATTAAAACCATTTAACCATTAACCACATCTTAAACATTATTCACAATTAATCCATTTCTTTCATATGAAGTTTACCAAGCAGTTGCTAATCTTCAACCTATTTTATAGTCACTCGCAAGTACTGGAAAAAAAAAGAAAACAAAAAAAAGAAGACAAAATTTAAGTAAAATATAATTGAAACTCAATCGTTAGCTTACTTTTATATTTTACTTGTTGTATCCGCAGTTTCATTCCATTAAATTTTAATTATAAACGCCTTTTTATGCACACGATCAAGAAAGCACACCTCATTAATTTGAGTAACACCAGAAATTTACATGGAAAAACAAAACGGCTAATCATTAGGAAAAAAATGATTTGGCAGGAAGCATATTCAGTTTAGTGTTATGTTTTAAACGCTAATTAAAGAAACATATCACACTCCAACATCGACCGTGATTGTATTTCTTTCTCACAGTGTTTTAAGTAGAGTTTTTTCCCAACAAATATAGTCAAATGCTTGAAAATTTGTCCAAATATTAATACACAAACTGTAAATGAAACCTAATTAACTGAAATCTGTGCTAGCATAATGGCCTATAGTGTTCCAGATTGATTGCTGTCTATGGTTACAGTTTTGTTCGGTCTATCTATCAATAATAAGATTTTTTAATTCGGATTGATAGTTTCTGAAAGCAGAGCGTTTAAACATAAAAATTTTTTAACTTTATATATTAGTATATATTTATATATCATTATCATAACTTAGAATCGGCCAATGACAGTAATGTTAATTTCTTATTATAAAAACGAAAACATTTTAACTTATGGTATACCTAATAATACCAATTATTATATGGTTGGCAAACAAATAAAAAAAAGATCAAACACAAGGATCTTGAAATATCTTCACTTGAAAAAATTACACTTTTAAATAAAATGACAAAGATCTAAAAGATAATGGTTTTTAAATAACTCAAATCTATTTTGAAAATTTATTTATAAATACGAAAACACGTATGATTATATTAAACGGAAATCAAACAAATAAATTTATCATACAAATAATTTTTAACAAAAGATCATTAATTTAAAAGCATATTGAATATATACTTTACAATATGGCATAACTTGTTGACCATGAGTTAACAAATCGTAAATAAAAAGGAGCCTTAAAATATAACCTAGTTACCAGTCAAAATCATGAAGATTAAGAAAAAGAGTATACCATACACAAAAAAGCATAATAATTATATCATAATATAGGCTGGAAATGATCCTCAAATTTAAAAACAAACATTTCATTGTTTATATAGCTCAAGTCATTCAAAATACAGTTTAAAAAATTATAGTACCATCTTGTTCTCTAAGTAAACTACCAATATCTCTTCAACTTTCATGGTTATCGTAAATGGTACAATGAAGTTATATCTACAAAGTAGGCAAACAGCCAATCTGAGAGAAGAACATTATTTTGGAAATGAGTGTATATGCTATAAGGTACACAGGGTATCTAGTGAATATCTCCAAGATTTCAAATTAAACCAGTCTGTGAATTTGAAAATATTTGTAAATTTCTCAATTTTGTTCAAATTTCAAGACATATAATGTCAATGTATAACCAAAAGCTGGATCTGGAACATAAAATTTCCAAAATTTTATGTATGTAATTCCAAAATAAGATAAAATTTCAAAGAGCTACTAGTAATACCAAACGTTGACCGCTCCAAATTAATACAAGAGTACTACCAAGAATACAGGCCATGTATTGTGTGGATTTCATTTCTGGTGAGAGGAATAATGCAACGGAGTTGACCCCAGATCCATCTGGCATAGTCTACAATTTTTTTAAAGTTGAATAAGCAGAATAATATTTTAATTTTTCCCCCCTAAATGGTCAACAAGTAATAATAATAAAAAACTTATAAATCATAAAATATAATTATAAATAATAAAAAATGGCATTAATTGAAAGTAAAACAGAAATTCTCTGTAATAAACTATTTAAATCATACAAAACCCCTGCCAGTAATGACAATAACTTTTTTTACAACTACAACCCACCACACTTAACATTCAGTAGTATCAACAGAACGGAACTCTTACTTTACCAACTATTAATACATAAAATAGTTGTTTTGTTATAAAAATACTTACAAATACCAGAAAATATTAGCTGAAGATTAGCAAGTCCTTGGTTTAAAACCTGAAGAAAAAAAAGAAAAACTGTTACCCATGTCATTTGAGTTTTCAACAACACACTTACAAACATATTTTTACATTGATGTGAAGCATCAGAATAGACGATCATCAAATTTTAAATATCATTAAGGGAGAATAGAAAAAACAAAAATGTGATATTCAAACAGAAATGCAAAAGTGCAACTGGTACTAGTATTAATTATAAACAAATACTACTACCACAACTTACATTAATAAGCATCTAAAATAGACAGAGAACACAGACATTAACTAAATACATACTGGCCATATATTGATAATTTTGCAGGTATTGCAGATATAAATCCGACAAGACGGCCACTTTTCGATACTCGAACACCACAATGCCAATCTTTCTTCCAACCTGGTGGCTGCAAAGCCCTATGCAAGCAATGTTAAATATTAATACAGATTAAAACATATGGCTAGAGAATGTCCTAATAATAACAATAAAAATTAGAGTTAATGTTGATTTATTAATTTTATAATAGTAATATTGAATATTTAATAGTTGACAGTTGCATTATAAAGGAAGATGGTCCTGGGTTGCGGTCATAAAAAGGCTAAATAGTGGTAAAACTATTTTATTGAAAGCCCAATAGGCTTTCAATAAAATAAGTTTTACCACTATTTAGCCTTTTTATGACCGCAACCCCGGACCATCTCCTTCCTTCATAATAGTAATAGTTAAAGTTAGATTTGATTCGAATGTTCCCCAAAAGCACTATCGTCCATACAAGATAGTCGAAGTTCAAGTTAACTATAGGAATCAACTTAATTCTTCCACCCTGCTCAAAAACAACACCTAACTAATCGTACTTCAAGCTTCTTCCAGACATTAGTAGTTTTTTATTTATTTTAAATTTAAAGTTAAAAAATAAATATTTATTGTAATAAATCTTACATTAAATACTCTCCTACAGTTGTATCAAGCAGTTAGATGAAGAAGTATAAATATAACCATAGTTCCTTGCATAAGTCATTTATTGTACCTCTTTTACTTTTTTGTTTTATTTATTTTTTTTGTTTGTCTCCCTTTGTTTATTAGGCTAAACAGGGTTTTTCCAGGGCCGGGGGATAAAGCGGGGGAATTATGCTGAGTTTAAAGTCCCACCGGGCACCGGGATTAGAATCGTAATTATTTTACTATCTAAGACTTCAGTTATCAGGTTACCAAGGAACCTCCGGTGCTGTGTACAACAAAGATTCTTATTCAATGTGCAGCATTTTTATTAACAAATCTCTAATGCTACACAAGCCTTTTTTAAATATATAGTTTTGAATATCCACTATGAATTCCTAAATAAATCTCACTTGAAGACCAGAAGAGTCCCTGAATGTTTATAGTAGTCTACTATTTTATCAAAAAGAATAAATTGTATTGAATGGAATAGATAAACAAGAAATTATTTATGTTATTTTATAAAATGAAAATTATCAGAATTACAAAACTGATGTTTATTGAATTCTTAATAATTTATTAATTGAACAGACTTTAATCACAACAGAAAAACTATTAATTAAAACAAATTCATAAAACCACAATCCAATAGTGATTTTGAATGAAGGTTACAACTTTCACTTGAATATGATATTAATAAGTTTAACAGTTTTGATCTTTATAAAACTAGAGTTACTTTATTTTTAAGAAATATGGATTGATTATCGAGAAAAAAAAACAAAAGCCCTATTTAAGACCATAATTTGCTACATTAATTGAAAATAAAATAGCCCAAGTAAATTTAATTTAATTGAATGGAAATAGTTGAGTTTACTTACCATTTCAGAAATTGAGGGGGGTAATCAAACCTAAACATAGCATCATCATCCTCAACATAATTTTCTGTTAATAGAGTATAGAGCTCTTTCAGAACTAAAGGATCATCTAAGATCAAAGTATCCCATGTAAAACCTTCTGGTAACGAATAAGGCTCCTGTCTGATCTCAGAAACAGCTTTATCTGGTTCAATTGGACCACAAACTGTGATCTTCTCATCTACAAAGCCACAACAGTAAACATTTGAATACTATAAACAAAAATATATTGTGAGAATAAATATACTTTTTAATTATCTTGAGAATTCTGGAATTCTCATATCCATAAAAAACAAATAATAATAATAAAATAAAAACATCCCTTAAATGTGCCTGAACATATCATCAATATCTAACACAATGATGTCATTTATAATGCATATCACTACTATTATTGCAAAAGGTCGTATGTAAAAATTAACGTTTTTTACAGAAGAGCATAAAAAACAATTATTTCTTTATGATTTATTAGTATAATTTCATACTCTATTTCCCTATTTAGCAGAATACTTATAGCAGTTGCAGATTACAAAATGTCACCTTTAGGGTAAAGAGGATAAACATGCAAAATTGTTACATAAGGGTATAGTAGGGATGATATATAAAGGTCACTTTAATGGACTAAACAAATACTTATAACACAAACATTATTTCATATCCTAACATTGCAATCAGAGTCCTAGGATTGAACACTAATCCATGGAAGAAAATGTGTTATTCAAAACCCTATCAATTAAATGAAATAATATAAGTTACAGGTCTGATTTTTTAAGTTATAAACAATCAATGCATTTTCAGAAAAAGCTTGAACAATATATGTTTGTATATCTGGCCATTTCCAACACCCATGTACATAGTTTCATAGTTGTTAATAGCTTAACCCATATTTCTTTAAGGAGCATTCTAGGACTGTAAATGCCTCCTTCAGACCAGCCTCTGCTCTAGTAATCATTTGTCAGTCATCAGTAATCAGTAATCATTCATCATTCCTGTATGAATATCTACAGAGGTGTCTAGAAGTTTGATGGCGCAAGTTACCAAACATTTTTTGGGTGAGCATTTTTGGCAGGTTTTTGAACATTTGAGGGGAACACATTTCAGCAATGTTATGAATTTTCAGAATGAAAAGATTAATACTAAGGGAGAAGAGAAAAACATGGAACAGACTGCAAGTGTAATTATATATGATCTATGATTTTTATAAATCTATCTTTGCTTTCTCTGTTTTTAAGAAAAAGTGATCAATAAAATATCTTGTGATTGAGGAAGGGGAGGATAGGTTCTTGCGCCATCTATCTTGGGGGAATAGGCACCACTGAATACCTGGATTAGTTTGGTCAATATACTTTTCAAGATTCTTTTAAATTCTCATTCTTTAATATATACAAAATAAGCTCTGCTTCACATCCTTTTACTTTAACTTATTTTCTAGTGTAAAGTTTTCTTTTTGCCATATTTTTTATTCACGTGTACTACAAAACAAAAAAATTATAAACTCAATAAGTTTCACTGGGAAATTTAGCAATGAACATATAGAAAAAGTAGGGTTTTAGACATTGATTTGATTTATTTTGTCACAATTATTAAAATCGTTAGGAAACCTAGTTCCAACCATTGAAATTATTCGGACATTTTGTTTGAACTATTGGAGATTATTAGATTTTGTTCCAACCATAGAAACTTTAGATTTTACCCTTCATCATCACCTCTAGATAAAACTTAACAATAACCTGCCTAGTAAAATTAAGATATATTATATTAATTAGTTTTTATGTATTCGCAGTAATTTATTTTAAAAAATGAGTACATCTAGATAATATGCAGGTGTGCTTACTTTTCACTCTCACCTCCCTTTATATGCAATATATAGTAAGGGTAAGTATTGCAATCGTGATCATTTTTTAATCTGAGTTTTCAACGGAAATACATATTTTGAGGTCTCCTGAGTCCAAGTAACCATGTCCAGCAAAATGATCTATGTGTGTGTGTGAGTGTATGTGATCAGTCTAGCTCAAAAACGAAAACTCGTATGAAAGCGAAATTGCATATTTAAGGTTTTTACAACCCTTGATGTTACAACCTTTCCGTCAAAATCGGGAAACTGGAAGTGGTATTTTATATAATTGATTTAACACATTTTTACCATTTTCTCAAAAAAGGCTCTAACAATTTTGATTAAACTCAGTATATCAGTGAATTATCAAGCAGCTTTTAAAATAATGTAATTTTATTCTCATTGATGTTCTCTAACAGGGCTTGAATGGCTAATTATCAATATTAGCTTCCTCTAAAGTACCTTTAAATTTTTTATTTGAAATAATTAACAATTTCACTTTAAGTTTTGATACAAAAAGTAGTCAAATATAGAATATGAAAGAATTTGATTATTAACAAAAGATAAATAAGAGGTCTTAACAGATAATAGTTGTAATGGAAGAACCAAAGCGCGGCCGAGCTCACCCCAAATATTATAACAGTCTTCCATAGATAATATGAGTTTAATATAATAATGACTACGACAATATTATGTACATATATATATATATATATATATATAAATATATATATATCACAGCTTTCATAAATGCTATCATTGGTATTATTTAATATTTAATTGTATAGAATACAGCGATATAAAAATTAAAAGTTGTCTATATAAGGGGATTTAAACAAATAAAAATACCCACAGTGAAACGTAAATAAATAAAGCGTCTATAATTTTTACTTTCACTTCCTTTTTTCTGAAAATACTTATTTCCGCTAAGAAGAGGGGGTTAAGTGAAAGTCTTGTGATGTGCACACCAGATTTTTAACTATTTTTTACTTATTGTCTAATGTTTTTAAACGACGTATCACTGATAATCTAGTACATTAAGTTATTCCAATTTTAAACAACTAGTAGGCCCGTGCGAAAAATTCGCACAGCATATTGTTATCAAATGCCAGATTAATAAGAAAATAAAATAATGCAGTCTATCAAAAGATAAATAAATCAAATGTTACTTTATCGATAAATATAATCGACAAAGAAAACAAAAATTAATTTAAAACTTCATTTTTGTTTGGAACCAACATGTTTATAAATTTCAGTAAGCTGTATCTTTGCTGAAAATTGTCCGATTTCAATGATTTTTTTTTTCCTTTTGTAGGAAATTAAGTAATCTTTTATATAATCATGGGCATAACCAAGGGAAAAGTGTGTAATTTTTTAGTTATTCGCAAATAAAGTTTGTTTTCTTTCATAACTTTTTTGCCTGAATTATCGGGATGATTGGACTGTTTTGTCCGGCTGAAGGTTGTGTGGATGCGAACCCTATGCCTTGCGTTATCTCGAAAATGGTATGTTTTTGGGCTTAAAAACGCATGATCCGATAGTTCCGGAGGAACTATCCGGATCTTGCTGTATGCATCAAAATCTTCTAGATCCAATTTGTCCCGGATCGATCTACAGACCTACCAATGTTCAGGTATTGAAGCCTAGCAAAATGTTTGTATCGACTTTATTTATTTTGTGAGTTGAATGGGCGACAATAGGATATCAACGATAATTATTGATTGGGAGGCAGAGGAACAAAAAGTAGGAGAGGCAGACCACCAGTTAGATGGAAGGATAGAGTGGTGGAGAGTATGGCTGGTTGGGGACTGTCGGAGGAGGATACAATGGGCCGGCAAAAATGGAGAGACTTGCCAAAGAAGGAGTTTAGTTAAGAAAAACTTAATATTGAAGAAACTCCTAAAAAAAAAAAAAAAATAAAATAATATCCAATTTTGTTCGAAAATTTGATAGCCTCAAGTTCAGTCAAAAAAAAAAAAAGTAACAAAAGCATCGGGTTGTAAAGAACTTCAATGGAAGCTTTAGCTTAGGAAAAAAAAAAACATTGGAAAGTACTTTAAATATGTGTGTATATTAATTATATTAAGTATATTAAAAATACAAGTAAATACAAACATAGAGGCAACACAAAATTCAAGTACATGCTGGTAGATAATGCAGACATAGACAACAAGCATTCGATATTATAATTCTTTATACTACAGATATAGTACAGAGAAAACTTTGTTAGTTTTTTTTAAAATTAACCTAGAGTAAATATTAGGAACATATACATCTTTAAGAAGAATGTTTTTTAAATATATACACAGGAAAGAACAAAGAATGTAGCAACAAAAACAAATATGATAATACATCATAATTGAAATGAAACTAATTTACCCTAAATATTAGGAAGAAACAGATATTATAAGAGAACAGAATAGAATAAATTAATTTTTAATCATGGTAGTTGTATTGTTTTGCATGACATGTATAATTAACTGAATATATCTAGCATAATAACAACTGAACATTAAATAATATTTATGAAATAACAGCAACATTGTACACTAATTTTAATATAAATTGGCTTTTTATTTATTTTGATATTTGTATCACAAATCTTTGACAATTCATTATAAGTTCTCATGTATAGTCTCATATCTACTAAAATATTGCAAATGTTTACTATGAATTAAAGACTACTAGTTAAATTTATTAATTCATTTTAATATCTGCAAGTAGTTAGATAAAAGGTTATGAAGTACAAAAAAGAGAAAGGCATTATTTAAATATTTGATTAAATTATGTATTTAAAAAAATATATATTAATTTTTTATCTAGTATAAGTTAAGGATGAAAATCAAAAACAGGACTCTGCCAATTGGAGATCCTGTGGAGGATTTATCTCTTTCCAAGCAATCTTACCATGATATTAATACAATGCCTATTACAACCTAATTACTCGAAAATTAAAATGTTTACTTCCAGAACAAAATATTGTGTTTGTTATTATGTTAAAAATTCCAACTATCAATCTACGAGCTCAAAATCAATTATGAGAATGAATGAAAATAATCATTTCATTCATTGTGGCTGAAAATAACAATAAAGACTTTGTTCTAAACATGCTTAAAGCTGACAGCCACTGCATTCATTATTACATTAATAATTTTACAAACAAGAATACCCATTATCATGAGGTCAAAAAAAAAAAATATATATATATATATATATAGCTACGAGATAGTAGCAACTATGACGTAAACAATAACCGGAATTACTTTTAAATAATGCTTACCCATTCGAGGGACAGGTTGAGTACTCCAAAACTGATATTGTTTTTGCATTGCTTCTTCAGTAGTTTTGGCAGCCTTCTGTTGGATAGATAAAACTTCCATAGCTTTTTTAATTTCCTAAAATAGATGTATTGTTATAGAATCCCGTTGATTAAAATATCGCAAATCATTGAAACTAAACATCTTTTCATACCTGAAAAGAAATATTACAACTGCCAGGCAGCTCTATTTCATTGACATTTAGCTTCACAGAATCTATACGAACAGTCATGTCGCTATTGTTATTCTGTTTATTTTTCCGACGATTCCTTTTCTTAGAGCTGTAATATTAGATAGAAAATAAGTTACAGCACAATAGAAATGAAACTAAGCATAAACACCAAGACAAACTTCCATATGCTTCTCAAGAAATAATTAACTCTTAGCTGAATCTAGTACACAAAATAGATACTGCTTTATTTAAACAAAATTATAAGGCCACAATGAAACAGTTATAAACAGTAAAATCAAACCTTTTGGAAGCAGAAACTGTCCCTTGGCCCTGAGTTTCCCCTGTGCTATCTCCTCCTTCTTTATTTTCAGTATTATCACCCATTTTAAGATAAACGAATCTTAAAGTTAGATTTATATAAAACGGAAATTGCAAAATTGACTATTTAAAAAAATAATTTAATTGTACTAATTCGCTAATTGTTATATTCGGTAAATTTTAACACTTATAACCTAATCGATGGAAACCGAAAAATCGAGTCATCTGAGACCTGTAGTAATGAAGCCTCCCTTTTCAGTGTTGATTCGATTTCTCCGCCAAAACCTATGGGACTTGTTATGATGTTTCTATTAGTCTCAATAACGTTGCCTTAATTAATTATTCAGTAAATCTAAATTAGCGGTCAGTACACAGAACTCTGTATTGATTCGATTGGTCATTATTTGTAAAAAGTATTTTGGATGCTACATAGGCGTGGTCAAAATCTGAGGAATCTAGATTCAGTGTTCATGTTGTCTTTCTATTGCATCTCATAATTATAATATATAATGGTATTTTTAATTAAAATTTATATGAACCGATTTTTATTCTCATATTGATTATTTATTATAAATTCTAGATATGTTTTTCGAAGCGACTGGCTGTTCTCCTAAAAAGATTGCTCATGAAAGTGAGATCACGCACCAGTCGTTGGATTCGTATTTCAAACGACTGGTGCGTGATCTTGGCTTGATCACACAACTATTTAAGTTTTTAGAGGTTTAAGAGAGAATAAGCGGTCCAGAGAACTGGTGTAATGTGTGCTGTGTAATCCTACATACCTTTACATTTTGTCCATCTCACCAGTTATATATGAAGTGTGGGGAACTTATCGACCCAGTTCATAAACTTGCAATTCGTTACCACGATTACTACATCATACGTAGGAATAAATAATATATGCAGTCGTTACTTATCATCATGCAACCATTTTTGCTATTGATTCGTTTAAATATTCTGAAATTTAGTCACAATTGTAAAAAGAAAGACACATAAGTTGATAAACAAATTCACTTTTGTATTCTCATTAAGTAATATTTTCATAGCTCTTTCCTGATGAAAGAAACCTTAATTTTGCAACCAACAGTTTTTCTGAACTAATTTGCAAGTTGCAGCTTTGGAAAGTTACCGCTGATCATTCTGGGGAACTTCTTGATATAATCTGTTTTCGGCAGTTGAATGTGGTGAATAAATCTGGAACAGTTGATTTACCCATTAGTCATTGTTTCATCCACGTCTTTGTTTTTTTAATTTTATTTTCACGATTATACAAGAGGACGTTGGGGTGTGAATGAGTGCCCGGTTCTGAACGTCGTAGGTTCGATTGCCACCTACGTCGGTTAATTTCATGGCGTCCCTGGGACATTGTGTGGGAAGGGTTTATAATAAATAATTTATATAATTGCAGGCTGAAGATATACACGAGTTCTACGCAGACATTGGGAAAGAAAGGGTAGGATATAAAGCGAGAAATGAGCAAATGCGAGGAAAATCCAAAATATTGGCAAAAAAAATAACAATAATAATAATAAAATACTTGTGGGGTAGTCAAGGTTGATGAGCTTGCATTTTCTGACCTACACAAGGCCTGGATTCAACTAGTTTCGAGATTGGTATTAGAAATACGTATATCATATTAGGAATCGCCTGAAGAAAGGTCCCTGCGAATTCCTATTCCAGTCTTGGTTGAACTGTGTGTTGATAAGCACAAACCAGACGGTCTAAGATTGTGCACTGTTAGTTCTTTCTCTTTAATTTCGAGATAGCGGAATCTTTAGAGAAGCATTTTGAATCACTATTGTGAGTCTCTTAATGCACATGGCTATCTATGACTAGTGCGTCCTTCATACCGATCCCCTCCAATCAAGCGTCGATTGTAATAAAGCAGGCAATAATAACAGAAAACGTTCTGAAACAAAACATAAGGAGAATATATTTTTCTTTCTAAAACACTGTCACTTTTTAAAATATTTGAAGCGAATTTGTAGAAAATGCACTTAATCGGCGGAAAAGCGGTACTGGTACGGTGCCTATAGCCTTCTTCCATATCATTCAGTACCAATAAATGGCACAGTTATAGTGTTATAATAACATTTATAGTACATTATATTGCTTATATTAACGAACAAATAATAACGCAATAATTTAATTGTCCAACGGAGGTAGTTTAAGAAGGCCCCTATCGAAAAAATGATATAATTATAATAATAAAACTTCAAAAATACCTCTCTGAATATCTGAAATTTTATTTTCAACATTTACTAATAACAGTACTAATAATTTAATACTTTTTTTTTGTAAATTTACTGATTCTTAGAGGTAAGTTAAATTGCATATACTTTCTCGGAAAAGTCATATTAATGACTTTTTTATAAAATAAAATATATACTTAATTTGAACCACATATAATGGATAATTGCCGGAATGCTTAATAAAACTCATATACCACTGATAAAAAACTAATTTCGTTTTTTTATTTTCTTTATTTTGTTCGGAGGCTGGTTCTCCGGGGAGACAAAACTACAGTCATATCAGTCTGGCCGATAGACTAAATTTCTATAGTTATTTTTATTCATAATTTTCTTCCAATAACATTAACATATCAACCTATTATTTTTAGTTATGCCAAATATTTGCAATAAACCTGACAACTGTTTATTTTTTTCCAATTTTAGTTGAGGTTTCTGTTGCTGAGGTTTGATACACTTTGGATTTCGCTTCTAAAGTTGTAAAGTAGACAATTTATATAATGTAACAAATTATTTAAATAAAAAATCTGGTGTATCCACTCGCATGACTTTCCTATCGATTTTAAACATGCTCATCAAAAATAACATATTTAATTTATAATAATAATATAACTTATTTATAGGGAAACCTAACTAAGCCCCGAATGAAAAATAGTGAGAGTTAAATACAAAAGTATATTGGTTCTACCAATTCTTTACATATAGTAACTACAATTGTCTAGTTTTACCAAATACTTTGCCTTCTATTTTTATTTTAAAAAAAACAAACGATTTTTTTAAAAAACTTTTTATCAGTTTTAGTCTGGCAACAATTAGGTGGTCTTGGTCTTGGTCTATGCATAGTGAAATTTTTGGTAGCGCTAATGAACAACCATATCGGTATTACTATTAATGTTTTTCACCTTAATTTTTATTCTTTCCAATTCTGTACACTAATAATTTATGTCAGTGATTCTATGAATCTTTATTACTTTAAAAATATTTCCACCTTTATTGTTTATTTCTTTATAGTCCTGATGTAGACCTACAATGTGAGTTGGAATGTCGACAATGAATAAATAATTTTTGCATGCAGAGATGAATTTTCCTTGAATTTTTTCAAGGATGACTTGTATGAAAAATAGTCAAAATTTCCAGTCATAATGTCTTCGGCATCATGTTAAAGTAACGATTCTTAACCTGCTTAACGTTGCACACTTGTTACTTACACATGGTATCGACGATATTTTCATTATGGTTGCAAAAATTTCGATCTATATTTATCACCATCTGAGCTAAAACTAAAATTACATCAGAAATATAAGATAATAACATGAATAAATTAGTAAACCGAGGGAAAAAAATAAGTAATACACGTAAATTAAAGATAAATAATACACATAAATTAAAGATGAATAAAGTGTTAAGGATGCTAATAATAATAAAGATTTGACTAGTGCCAAGAATGAATGAGATGTATTTTTGAATTATAAAAAGAATATTATTATAAAAGTGAGTATTGACAACAAAAAAGGAATACGGTTTTTGGAAAAACAAAAAGAATAATATTAGGTAGCTATATAACATGAATAAAAACGTATTTAAAAACATAATGAAGCAATAATTTATCAACGGTTAACAATTATTAGTTATTTTTTCTGATCTGCTCCCGGTTCTTTATTTCAGTTGGTTTTAACGCCAAATTGAAAAACGGTTCTTGTAATTTAAAACAAAAATTAAATGACCTCATACTAAGTTTAAACATCAATCTCATATGCCAAATATTATCTTATTTACCTATTCATTTTCGATAAGTATTGCTTTCCAACTAAGTAAATATTGTGTTTAGATTAACATGCAATAGATATCGATGATCTACAATAATCTTCAGATAGACTGAGAAAGCTAGACCTGGGTAACATAGTTTGTACTTAAATATTTAAGTAAAATTACTTAAAAATATGTAGTTTGTTTTTTTATCTTTTATAAGCAATAAATAAATCGAAGGCCGCGTATTGTTAATTTTACATGATCCATGCATTAGATACATGTATCAATTAAAGCATTAAAATTCTTATAAAAACTATAAATTATATGATTTTAGTTATAACATAAATTTTAATTTTTCATAATGAATTAAAACAGTATGTTATGAATTAAAAAAAATAAAATAAAAATCAGCAGCAGAGTAGCTCAATGAGTTAGGCATTACGCTGCTAAACTTCCCAGCGGTCACGGGTTCAAATCCGATTGATGTGAAGTAATTTTTCATCTGCCTAAATGGCACCCAGGCGATGTCCGCACCGCATAGAATAGTTGTATTCAAAGTGCCTTAATGGACTCTGATACCCACGGGGGTACCTTTTGGAGTCTCAGATACCCAGCGACTACAATCATTTACAAAAGTGACACGGAAGCTTTCGTGCAAAGCTCTTTTAATTCGGAAAGAATAACGACCCCTTGAGCCCCAGTTGCGGAGTATCAAAGACCGCCAAGCACATTGTCGTAGCAGTACTGCGAATTAGGAGAAACACTTCGGAAAAGTTTGAAAAACATACTAGCTAGTTGCAGACAGCTAATAATATTAAGATTGTCAGCGTGGCGAGGAAACCGCTGCGAAAGGAAAACATTTTAAAGATGGCGGGTTTATTAAAAGTTGGTTTATAAATCTATCTTAGGAACTCATTAAAGACAAAAAATACCAGAAAGATATTTTTAGTTAAGACATGTAGAGGCGGAATTATGTCAGATTCACACAATTAGACATAGTTTATCTGTTAATGGTCCTAATATTTTTGCTAAAACAAATCTATCTCTTCCTTTGTATGTCAGAATATTTGAAAATGACTTTTCAAAATACATAGAACTTGTATCCTTACAACCTTCTAAAACTAGTAACCTTCTAAAACTAGTAAATCCTTTAAAATATTATTTTAGGCGAAAAGATGAAGCGTTATTTCAAGAATGGTATAAATTGTTGTATAAGGAAGTTGTGTCTTAACTC